TCTTCTCTTTTTCATCTCTCTCGGTGTATGTGGCTCTTACGGAGAGGCCTTTTTTCAAGGGAGGACTCCCGACCAAACAATCGACAACACTGGGCACGGAGGCTCGCAAATGTGTTTTCGGCCCCAAACCCAAAGTCCACAACACTTCGTACGCGCTCCGTTGAGCGTCGCGTGCGTTGAGACCACCCCGGCCTCTCGAGAGACTTGATAGCTGAAACACATTAAAGAAACAAAAGTCGAATGATCGCGACTGGTGACAGACATGTGACACGCTCCGGCTGCGGCTCGGCCTCTGATGGCTCGGCCTCGCGCGGCGGCTCGGGCTCGGTGCTTCGGTGGGTCTCAAGACTTTGAGCGAGGTCTATGTGAGTCTGGCCCGCCCTCAGAGTTCAGCGTGTCGCACGAAGCCGCGCACGCCTTGTGCATGTAGCCTGAAGCGCAAGGGCACCGTCGGAAGTGATGGCGAGGCTGTGCCATGCTCCAGCCGACACAGCGACGACGCGCTGGCCAGCAAGGGCCTCAACCTTCTTGGGCAGCAGCTGGCGCTGCTGGTCGCCATACCCCAACATGGCAATGTATCCACCGCCCCAGCTCCAGACGGCGCCGTCGGCGGTGATTGCCATGCTGTGGAATGCTCCAGCCGACACAGCGATGACATACTGGCCAGCAAAGGCCTCGACCTTCTTCGGCAGCAGCTGGCGCTGCTGGTCGCCGTGGCCCAGCTGGCCAGAGCCTCCACCACCCCAGCTCCAGACGGCGCCGTCGGCGGTGAGCGCGAGGCTATGCTCGATCGAAGCCGACACAGCGACGACGCGCCGGCCAGCAAAGGCTTCGATCTTCTTCGGTTGCGAATGGTCCTGCTCGTCGCCGTGGCCCAGCCGGCCAAAGTCTCCAAAGCCCCAGCTCCAGACGGCGCCGTCGGCGGGGAGGGCGAGGCTGTGCAGACCTCCAGCCGACACACCCACGGCGCGCTCGCCGCCCAGCGTCGACGGAAGGCGGGTCGGCGTGTTGAGCAGCGTCATGCCGTGGCCGTGGCCGATGAGGCCTGAGATGGCATGCACTGGCGAATGCGCAGCCGAGCCGCACGATGAGAGCCGCCCCTCGCCGTCGATGAAGAGGCTGTGCGACTGGCCTGCTGCCAACCTCGCCGGCGGGTTGGACTCGCACAGCAGCGCAGCGAGACACAGCCACCGCACGGCGGAGCCCTCGCCCTCTGGCTGCGCCGGCAGCTCGAAGCCGCGCTCTTGAGCCCACAAGCGGATGCCCTCTAGCGCGAGTGAGGCGTGGAAGAGCAGCGAGACGGCCGCGACGCGAGCGATGTCGACGGGGTCGCAGCGAGAGAGGGCGCGCAAGAGGAGGTCCGTGGGGAGGTCGAGGAGGCGGGCGGGCGGCGGAGTGTCTGGCGAGGGGGCGGCGGCGGCGGAGGCTGGGGCGAGGCGGCGCGAGGCGGGGCAGACATCGCGAGGAAAAGAATTCTCGCTGCGCGAAATCAGTTTCAGGTCTTTCTTTCTTCACGGGATTGTGAGTGTGTGTGCGTCCAAACATGTCATTGCTCTCGCGCTTCTCCCGCACGCATGCTCATGCACCTCGTCACACACCACGCGGGCTGGCATCTGCGACCTATGCTACCTGCTCCGGGGAGAGACTGTAATCGAGACCACTCGGCACCTAGCCCTCGAATGCCCTTACACAGGCTTGGTCCATGAGGCCGCCCTCCGCACGGTTCTGGAAGTCACAACGCTAGACGAGGCGGTGCGTGAAGAGACACGGCGTTCGCAATGGCAACAACTCGCACACGAACACCGCCGACTCTGCATAACCGGGTTTCGGCTTACTACGAGCAGAGGACAGATGGCAGAGGGGCGCATTGGGGCAACGCCGACACGAGTGATGATGCTGGAGACGCTGGCGGGCATCGTGCGGCGGCGGCACTACAACGCGAACCTTGCACACGACGCGACGCCGGACGCCCGAGTCGACAAGGACGCTAGGGCGGCACTCGTCCGCCAATTTTATTACACAGCGAAGAGAGCACAGCAAACCGAGAGGGAAATACGCCTTCGCATACCCGGATGGCAGCCCTCGCCCGGGGAAGGACCAGTAGCAGAGTGGGAAAGGGATTGGCTCGCGTCCGGCTTCTTTTCTGACGACGGCCAATGCGCGCTTCCAGAGAGGATTCAGCTTGCCCGCGACGTTGCTGCAAATGATTGCACAAGCAACACGATGGCACTACTCAGCGTCGAGCCTTGTGATAGGGGCGGTGCTTGCCGTGTTAAAGTGCGGCTGATGGTGGAGGCGTCAGGAGTTATACTTCGACCCTGTCGACGGGACGGCACCACGCCCCCACAGCAGCAGCAACCACCCGACTGGACGGCGTACACTGATGGGTCGGAAGACGGAGGCAGGGCAGGATGGGCGTACGCCGTAGTCATGGGCGGGGACGGCATATGCGACGTGAATGCCATGCTCGTGACCGAAGGCTACGGCCCCGTCGTGACTAGCCCCGTGCACGCCGCTTTCGTGGGGGCGCGGAAACACACCAATAACACGGCGGAGCTGTCAGCGCTTGCGGAGCTTTTTCGCTCACTACTCCACACGGCACCACGACCAGCAGGCTCACGAGGGGTGGTCCGAACGGACAGCGAGTACGCGATGGCGTGTGCGACGGGGAGAATCTCGCCGGGGGAGAACGCACAACTAGCGAGCTATCTTCGAGCAGCGTGGCGGCATTTAGCGTCGAGGCACGAAGTGACATGGAGACACGTCAAGGGGCACAGTGGTCATAAGTGGAACGACTACGTCGATAAGCAAGCTGACCTCGGCAGGAGCGGCGCGAGGTATTGCGGCGCACCGGAGTGGCAAGACGAGTCGATCCCAACAGACGCAGACGACGGGGAGAGCAGCACCGTGGGCGACGACGTGGTTATTAACGGAGGAGGTACAACCATCCCACTCGACGACATCGGTGATGGGGCCTCTAGCTACGCCGATGACCCACCCGACTCCCCCGAAAACAGACCGCCGCCTGGCGCCCCGCCCTCGCCGCCTAAAGCCCCAGTCGTGGAGCATGGGGTGATATGGATTTCATACACGCCGAGCGCGCAGGCGCGACACATCGGAGACAACAAGGGGATCCGACGTGAAAGAGCTATCGACATTGACGTTGACCCAGCCGATTCCACCGATGTCGACGTCATCACCTCCGCGGCTACCGCGCTTTCGCTCGACGACACCGTGGAGAATCGCACCGAGGACCTTGCCGAGGCGATAGGCCGAATCACTTTGGGCCCCGACCCCGCCCCCGCCCCTCGGGGTGGGGGCACCCGCCCCTGTCGGGCACCGCTTGCGGCGCCTGAGATGGCCGTAGGGATGCACGTGGCGCGTGTGTTGCTTGTGTGTGACGCGTGTGTGGCGCGTGTGTGGCGCGTGTGTGGCGCGTGTGTGGCGTGTGTGTGGCGTGTGTGTGGCGCGTTTGTGGCGCGTGTGTGGCGCGCGTGACACGTGTGAGACGGGGCAGGAGACAGTCGTGAGACAGGAGTTTGATCAAGAGAGCGGGACGCCAAGGCCAGCGAGCCAGGGGAGAGATGTGAGGAGCGACGCACTGTGTCAGCAAGCAGAGATGGTGTGAGGCCACGTGTGACGTGGGTGTGGCATGGGTGTGGCAGCTGTGAGACGGGGCAGGAGACAGTCGTGAGACAGGAGTTTGATCAAGAGAGCGGGACGCCAAGGCCAGCGAGCCAGGGGAGAGATGTGAGGAGCGACGCACTGTGTCAGCAAGCAGAGATGGTGTGAGGCCACGTGTGACGTGGGTGTGGCTTGGATGTGGCAGCTGTGAGACTAGAGTGAGACTGCAGTGAGACAACAGCGAGTGCAGTGAGACATCAGAGAGGCGCGGTGGGCGCCACTCGAGACGTGTGTGGCGGGAAGGAGAAGGGGGGGGGGGGGGGGGGGGGAGGTTTTCCTGGCCTTAAGCGAGCCACGGAGAACCGTGTTGGCCTTGTGAGTCTTTCGCGGGGCTGCCGGGACCGCGGGATAATGTTTTCCCGGGCAGGAACACCCTCCGGGGGTCTTTTAAACCAACTATGCCGGCCAAGCCCAGCTGTTCGGAGTATGGGAGATATAACGATATGATAACCTCCGCGGGCGCCGGCGGGGCCAGCGGGGAGCGGGCGGCGGGCCCAGCGCTCGGCCAGGGAACCCATATATCTTATATGGTTATGGAATATGCCATAACGCAGAAGCTGCCCAGGCCAGCTGACCGGCAGTGTGTGTGTTACACTAGTGTGAGAGAGAGTTTTGTGCTTTGTTTGCACTAGTGTGGCGAGATGCCATGCACGCAATCCCATTCCGGCCAGCAATCCCGGACCACAGCAGCGTGTTCTCGGAGAGGCGAGGCAAAACCACTCACCGAAAAACAAACACTCTCTCTCTCTCACCGTACACCGACAGCTCTAGCAAACAAACAAACAGCTGCTCCACGAGACGTTCGGCGGCGGCTTCTCGCCCACCGCCGTTCTCAAGCTGCGCCGCCTCGCGCGCAAAGCCGCGCGCGGCAGCGTCGACCGCACGGCCTACTCGCCCAAGTACTCGCTTTCTTTTATGTCCCATCATGCAGAGCGCATCTCTCTCTCTGTTGTGCGAGGCGTGAACCGCGCCATTCGCTCTCACCTGGCAACCCTGTCTGCACGTCTCGCGCGCGCGTGAACAGGGCTCCAGGCCCCAAATGACGTGTGAGTGTTAGAGTTGTTTGGTATTGCTAAAAATCTCTCTCTCAGCTCTAGTATAACAGTGTACAGCGGTGAGAATTAGTTCAACTGTGAACAGGGACATGCACACGCACACGCACACGCACATGTGCATGTGCACGCCACACGTGCATGCACATGCATATGCACATGCACGTGCACGTGCACGGGACGTGTCTGTCAGGGCCGCTTGCCTTCTCGCTTCTGCCCTGTTTGTCGGCCCCTTGCGAGACGCTCGAATCCCCCACTTCACCCATGGATGTGCAGACGCGCAGCGAGTCTATCAACAAGCATGTTGCCTTCCGCATGTGCGTCGCCACCGTCCTTCTCGCCATCAGCGGCATCTTTGTCGTGGTTGCGTGTGCTGTGCCGGCATTCTCTGCCGGGACGCCAACCTTCATATATGAAGTGGACGGGAGCGATTACGGTGGGTCGGTTGGCTATGGCATCTGGGGCGTCGGCGGATATCTGAACGAAGACAGCTGCGACGCGGTCAACGCGTTCATCACGCTTCGTGGTGGCGAAGAATGGTCTTGCTCGGACGTGGTCTCCTACCACTGCGAGTACGTCTCGTCGCCACGCATCCAGGAAGGCCTTGACAACATTCTCTGCGGCTACGCCCGCAGCATCGCATGGGAGGCGCGCTCCTGCGACGACGACGACGACTGCGCCGAAGGCGACACCTGCGGCGGTGACGACAAGTGCTCCGGCGGCGCGGTCGGCAACTCGGCCACGCTCAAGCCCTGGATCGCGGGCGCGGAGGCGACATCGATCTTGACGGTTCTGCTTGTGTTCGTCGCCTTTGTGCTCGCCTGCCACGGCTCCCGCTCCAGGCGGCCCAAGCCCTGCCTCACCGCCGCCCTCGTCGCCGCGGCGGCGGTGCTCTCGGTCGTGCCGTTCGCGCTGTGGGAGTTGATCGCCTGCGTGACACTCGTGGACGACCCCGCAGACTTGGAGTGCGGCCGCTCGTGGTCGTACGCCCTCCAGGTCTGCGGCTTCCTGATCCTCATCATCGCCCTGTTCACGCTGCCCGGTGTTGAGAAGATTTGTGAGATTTGTTCTTAGTGTTGTGACCGCTCCACACGCGACACGGGCTCCTGTCGTTGCTTAGGGGTGGAGACGAGGAGACCCCTTGCCCCACCGCCTCGTGTGTGTAGACAAGTTTTTACTGGAATGATCCCAGCGGCACACGTCTACAAGGGGGGACTCCGAACGGCCTGGCATGTCGGCTAACTAGGTAGGTCATAGACCTTCCCGAACCCCGCATGTCCGCATCGGGGGGAGGGCGGCTCGTAACTGAGGTTCGCCGTCAGAGACAGTCGTCCTCCCCTACTCGGCCATTCCAACGGCCAGGCCGCTCGCTTAAGGCTGATTGGCTAGACGAGCGGTCTACCTCCAACGGGGCGGTCCGGGAACGCGTGGAACCTGCCCACCTCGGTGGGAGGTGGTTTGGCGCCGACGGACCGCCCCCTCCACCACCCTCGCCCAGGGATCTACAACGCTGTCTTAAGGTCCGACCTGTGGGCTCCGCGCTCCGGCCTGCGCTCGGCACCGGGCACCTCTTAGCGCCATCGCCATGGACCTGCAAGCAGCGCCGGGCGACGACGACTTACCGCCTCCCGGTCCCCCTCGGCACACCTCCGCTGCTTAATGATTGACGACTCGAACCCGTGAAGCTTCCCCGTGCGCGGGTTACCCCGCACACGGGCCAGCCTGCCAGCCACGTATCCACGCAAGCGTGGTCCGCGCGCATGGCATACAGGCGTTCGCCAGACAGCGCAGAGGCTAGGCGACCGGGGAAGGACTAGCTCAAGGGCAACACAGCCGGACCACCTCCACACGTCTCCCAGCCTAAAATCCGGGGACGTCCGAACGCGCGATGAAGCTCCGCCTATCAAAGCTGCTGCGCGTGAGGCGCACGTCTCGGGCAACCTCAGTCCCATCGAGCTTCAATGTGGGAGGGGGCGATGATCTGCCCGCTCCAGTCGATCGGGCGGTGTCGGTGGAGGCAACCACGTTGTTAGAAGGCGTTGGTGGTGAGGCAGAGAGCGTGCCACAGCTCGGGTGGGGCGCCTCCAGTGACGAGGGTGAAGAGAGCGTGCCACAGCCCAAATATGGGACGTCCAGCGCCACGAAGCCGGTTGAAGACGACTACGGTGATCAACCGGCTGATCATGAGCGAGAGTTTGCACCTGCATCTGATCTAGACCTCAAAGAGACCATTGCCGAGGCGGGAGCAAGGTTGGCAGAGGGCGGGAGGGCGTTGGCGAGCGCTCCCGCAGATTTAGACATCAGCGATACCAACGTGGCAGGCATCGGGAGCGAGGAGGACAAGGGTCTTCGCAAGTCGGCCGCGCAGAAGGAGGCGGCCTGGAAGGGCTGCGGTAGGGCGCCAGGCGTCGAGGTGTGGCGAGTTGAGCAGTTCGAAATCAAGCCGTGGCCAAAGGAGGAGCACGGCAAGTTCTACAAGGGCGACTCGTACATTGTCCTCCATACCCACAAAGAGGACGGCTCGACCAAGCTCCTCTACGACTTGTACTTCTGGCTGGGGCAAGTACGCACGTAGTAGGCAGGCCGTCAATCGGCGCCATCGTCGTGTGCCTCCTTCGAGACACTTTGAGACACACTACGCGGGCACACATTCTCACAGGTAGCAGGCGGTATACATTTACCAGACCACCACGGCCAACCCCGGCCAGGAGTCGACGGCGGACGAGCAAGGCACCGCCGCCTATAAGACGGTCGAGCTCGACGACTTGCTCGATGGCGCTCCGATCCAGCACCGCGAGGTGTGACTGTCCCTTGAGAGCGACACGCGGTGTTGGAAACGTGATGAGTGTAGCATGGTTGCTCAGGTAATGCTTCACGAGAGCAACGCCTTTCGCTCGCTCTTCAAGACCGTCTCATACCTCGAGGGCGGCGTCGACTCGGGCTTCAACAAAGTCGAGCCCGGTGCCTTCAGCAGCCGCCTGCTGCAAATTAAGCGTGTCAAGAAGAACACGGCCATCATCCAGGTGCCCTGCCGGGCGACGTCTCTCAACCATGGCGACGTTTTTATCCTTGACACGGGTGCGACCATCTACGCGTGGGAGGGCGCTGACTGCTCGCCGTTTGAGAAGCTCGCGGCCGACCAGGCTGCCTACGAACTCGCGTCTGAGCGCAATGGCGCGTCGTCCATCTCGAGGGAGGCGGACGAGTACTTCTGGAGCAAGCTGGGCGGGGAACCGAGGCAGATCGCCAGCAAGGAGGAGGCGGGCGAGACGCTGCCAAAACCGCCCGAAGGCGGCGAGGCCGTCCTCTTCCAGCTCTCAGACTCGAGCGGCGAGCTCACGATGAGCGAGGTTGGACGCGGCAGCCTGGGGAAGGGCCTGCTCCACTCCGATGACGTGTACGTGTGCGACGCCGGAGGAGAGGGCCTGCTCGTCTGGGTCGGTGCGGGCGCCACGCAAAAGGAGCGCGCCGCGGCCATGAACACGGCGACTAAATACCTCAAGCAGTACGGCAAGAAAACTAGCACACCTGTAACGGTGCTCAAGGAGCACGGGGCCGACCGGAACAAGATCTTTCAGAAGGTCTTTGCCTACTGAAGCCGACTGGTGTACAACTAACAACACCCCAAAACGTGTATCGATGCGGAGCGCGTGACTCCCGAGGTGAGCTCCGGCGGGCGGGGTCTACGCTTTGTGCCAGAGCCCGACCTCACACCCATGCGCCATAGTCTAAGGGGGGGTTGAAAGAGGCTCGATAATATTACTTCCTTGTATTCAATACGCACGCCGCCTTGGTAGAGGGTCCGCAGCGTCCTAATCTAAAATCTGAGGATTCAGGATTGAGGCATCGCTTCAGTGAGGTCAAAGTGAGTTTATGGATGTGTGAGAACGGTACAGGACACGAGGAGTCACGCGGACCGACTCGTCGGTGACTCTGCTGCACGCCGTTTCATAGTTTTTCTCAGCGTGAGCGAGACGTGGAAGAGTGCCACCGTCGGGTAGGACGGTCGGCCCGGAGTATCAGAGTAGCCGTCGTGGTCGCGGCGAGCAGCGCCGGCCACTCCGGCGCCGCGTCGGCACCGTGGGAGCATGTCCACCGCCACTTCGCGGTCGCAGCGCTGTTTTGTCGCGAAACGCCGCATGTACCTCTGGCGAGCCAAAGATCGACTCGCATGTCGATTTCGACTTGACGGGCGCATGGAGGCATCACGTCTCCATTGCCGCCGTCAAGTCGGAGCCAGTCTGCGGCGACCACAGCGCTTGCAGGAGGTACATGCGAGCTTTTCAGAGTCAAGCGATTGCGCGGAATCCCACACTGGTGGATTTGGGATCCGTAGCCAGTGCATAGAGTTCTGTTCACTGTTCTCTCGAGGTTCTCGAGGTGGATATCCTTTGGCCGCGTTGGGTAGCGAGGATGTGAGTGTGTGTGTGACGCGAGGATTGGTGTAACCCGAGCCACGGAGGCGTGTTTTCTGACGGCCGACCGTCAGTGCACGGAGTTGCCCCTTCTCCGACTGCCCCGGCTAGTTCACGGGTTTCGCGGGAGTGACCCCATGCGTCAAACCCGAGACCTAGCGCGGGTGGGTTGGAGGGGGGCTCGCTGCAGGGAAGGGCTGTGTAAGAAGCCGATCCCCGTAGTCTGCCCCGCTCCTCCCCATCGGGCCGCATGAGCGGCCACGCCTCGCAGATTCGTTTTCGCGCCTGGGTCAGGCGCGCGGGGCATCCCCCGGGTCGCTCGACCAGCGGTCCGAAGATGTGGCCGCTATGCGAAGGAAAGAGTGGGGCCCTCGACGCCTCAGTCCGGCCCTCCGAGGGGGGAAGGGAATTGCGGGGTCCCCACGGGCGCCTCAGTTCGGCCCTCCCGAGGGGGGGGGGGGGGGGGGAACAAAGGGGTGGGGGGATTTGGGTTGTGGGAAAGGGTCTCGTTTCGTGCCCCGCAAAGCGTCTCGGTTCGTCGTCCCGCGCGGGGCCGGCCCGTGGGGCTCCAGAAGGGCCGGAATCCTCGCCGCTGGTGGCGTGTCGCAGTCTCGGCACACCCGTGATGTGCTCTGTGATGTATGGCTTCTAGCTGGAAACGGTCTAGCTGGAGCGTGCGCGGGCCGCGGGCGGCGGGGCCCCGCGGGGCCGCGGCCCCGCGCGGCGGGCGGGTTGCCGCCGGCGGCGACGCTGTCGCTGCGATTTCGTGTCGTGTGTGCATGAAAAGTGCAGATGTAACTTAGCATGCGGGCGGACCCCTCACAGCTCACAGCTCACTAAGCAGAGCCGCCGCGCCCCGCGCCCCGCCCACCCCGCCCGCCCGGCCCACCCCGCCCGCCCCGTCCACGCCCCCCTCTCCCCCCTCGCCCACCGACCGCCGCCGTGGCGCCCACGGGCTGGGCCTGGGGCACGGTGCGAGTGGGCGGCTGGTGGACAAACGTCGTCTGCGCCGCCACCAGCCGCCCAGTTGCGGCGATGGGCAGCGCTGGCTGGCGGCAGGCCGGGCAGTTGCTGTCGCGCTCCAGCACGCGCGGCGCACATGTCTCGCAGTACAGCGCGTGGCCGCACGCGAAGCGGACCGAGCGCGGCGCGTCGTAGCAGAGGTCACACTGGCGCTCCTCGGCCCCAACCTTCTCCTCCACCTCCCCCGCTGCTTCGACTAGCGCCTCCAGCCGCGGCAGCGCCTCTGCGAGCGGCATCCGCCTCTTCTTCCTCACGAGAGCCAGCCCGACCACCAGCCGCGCCAACTCCTCGGCTTGCGCCGCCGACCAGCCCGCGTCGGCCGCCGCGATCGATCCTTCCGCCGTGTCGGGCTCCTCAAGCGCATCGTCGCACTCGTCGAGGAGGCCGACGGCGCCGCGGCCGGTCAGGGCGACGAGCAGCGTGATGCCGAGCGCATAGCCGTCGGTCAGCGCTGACGCCTGCCCGCTCTGCGAGATGATTGGGTCCATGTACCCAAGCTTACCGAAGAGGCGCTGCGTCGACAGGTGCGACACCTGCTGGCTGCTGCCGGCCGTCGCCTCTGCCGCGCGCGCGAGGCCCACGTCGGCGAGGTAGCCGTTGCCGCGCTCGTCGAGCAGGATGTTGCCCGCCGAGACGTCGCGGTGCAGGATCATGGGAGAGAGCGTGTGCAAGTAATGCAGCGCGCTTGCGGCGTCGCGCAGCACGCGGAGCCGCGCGGCGGAGGAGAGCGGCGGAGGCGGCGTCTCGAAACCGAGCATGCGGAGCCGCTGCAGCGCGGCCGGCGTGCGGTAGAGGCGGTCCTCGAGGCTGCCGCCGCGGCAGAGGGGGTAGACGAGGCACGCTCTCGCCGGTGCCAAGCAGACGCCGAGAAGAGGGAGCAGGGACCGGTGACACGCCGCGCTGAGCGTGCGCACCTCGCTCTGCAGCTCGGCGAGGCCTTGGGCGCCGACACCGACCAGCGCCGTCTTGACGGCGAACCCGCAAGCGACGCGCGGGAGAGACGGCAGCGCGTCGCAGCGATAGACGCGCCCAAAGCCGCCCTCGCCCACCTTGCGCGCCTCGGCAAAGCCGTCCGTCGCCGTAATCAGCTCGTCGAGAGGGACAGCGACGGGCGGCGCGGCGGCGGCGGCGAGGGCGGCGACACTCGCCGAAGCCGCCGCTGCCGCCGCTGCTGCCGTCGCCTCCGCTGCCGCCGCCTCTTGAGCCTCCGCCGCCGCCACGGCCGCCACCGCCGCCTCTACAGCCGCCGCCTCCGCCGCCGCCTCCGCCGCCGCCTCCGCCGCCGCCTCCGCCGCCGCCTCCGCCGCCGCCTCCGCCTCCGCTTCCGCCCTCATCCTCGCCTCCTCCCTCTCCCTTGCCGCCTCCTCCCTCGCCCTCGCCTCCGCCTCCTCCCTTGCCCGCGATGCCGCCTCCGCCTCCTCCGCCGCCCGCGCCGCCGCCTCCGCCTCCTCCGATGCCCGCGCCGCCCGCGCCTCCTCCGCCGCCCGCGCCTCCTCCGCCGCCCGCGCCTCGTCCGCCGCCCGCGCCGCCGCCTCTGCCTGCCTCGCCGCCGCCTTCTCCTCCTTCTGCCGCTGCCGCTTCAGCGGCTTGGCCAGGTCATCGCGCAGCAGCCGCGCCGCCCGCAGCGCCTCCGAGCCGTTGGCGGCGTCGACGTTCGCGTTGATCGCCGCCCTGAGCGCCTCGAGATCGGCGTCGCCTCGGCCGCACGCCTCAACCGCCTCGCGCAGCGCAGCCTCGGCAGCATCGCGCGCCTCCGCCGCCTCCGCAGCCGCTGCCGCCTCGCGTGCGGCTGCCGCGGCCTGTTCTACCACCGCCGTCTCCCCCTCAGCCTCTGCTGCGGTCGACGAGTGCTCCTCGAGGGCGCACACGCACGCGGCGTGGCCATTCTCCTCGGCCCAATGAAGCGCCGTGTTGCCGTTCGCATCGCGCGCCGCCGTGTCTGCGCCCGCCTGCAGCAAGCGCCGCACGACGGCGGTGCGGTTGAAGAAGGCGGCGCCCATCAGCGCGGTCCAGCCTTCGCTGCTCTGCAAGTTGACCTCAGCACCATGTCGTATCAGCAAGTCGACCACCCGCTCGTGGCCCTGGAGGGCGGCGAGCGTCAGCGCGGTGTAGCCATTGCTGTCCTGCAAGTTGACATCAGCGCCGTGCTGGAGCAACACCTCGACCACCCGCTCGTGGCCGTGGACGGCGGCTTTCATCAGCAGCGTGATGCCGCTCGTCTCGCCCTTCTCGTACGTCGCGTCGGCCCGCCCGCCGCCCTCGAGCCACGCCAGCACCGCCTCCTCCTTGCCTCCCTCAGCCGCTGCCACGACCGCGTCGGGGGCTGCCACGCCGCCGCTCGACGCCCGCCCCGCCGCCGCCGCCGGAGATAGCGTCTTCGCGACTCTCGGTCCAGCCGAGGAAGCGCCGCCGGAGGAAGCGCCGCCTGCGCCTGCGCCGCCGGCTGCCGCCGCAATGGGCCGTCCCGCCACCACCGACTCCTTGACGTGCTGCCGGAAGGCCTCGACGCACTCGGCGTGGCCCCTCTCCTTGGCCCAATGCAGCGCCGTCATGCCGCTCTCACTGCGCACCGCCGTGTCTGCGCCCGCCCGCAGCAAGCACCGCACGACGGCGGGGTGGTTGAAGGCGGCGGCGCCGATCAGCGCGGTCAAGCCGTTGCTGCTCTGCAGGTTGACCTCAGCACCGCGCCGTATCAGCAAATCGACCACCCGCTCGTGGCCATAGTGGGCGGCGCCCATCAGCGCGGTGCTGCTGACGCTGTCCTGCAGGTTGACCTCAGCGCCGCGCTGGAGCAGCAGCTCGACCACCCGCTCGTGGCCTTCGCTGGCGGCGTCCATCAGCGCGGAGTCGCCCTCGCTGCTCTGCAGGTTGATCTCCGCGCCGCGCTGCAGCAACAGCTCGACCAGCCGCTCGTGGCCGTGGTTGGCGGCGCCCATCAGCAGCGTGAGGCCGCTCACCTCGCCCTTCTCGTACGTCGCGTCGGCCCGCCCGCCGCTGTCAAGCCACGCCAGCACAGCCTCCTCCTCGCCCCGCTCAGCTGCTGCCACGACCGCATCGGGGGCTGTCGCGACACCGCTCGACGCCCGCTCCGCCGCCACCGCTGGAGACAGCGTCTTTGCAACTCTCGGTCCAGCCGAGGAAGCGCCGCCGGAGGAAGCGCCGCCTGCGCCTGCGCCGCCGGCTGCCGCCGCAATGGGCCGTCCCGCCACCACCGACTCCTTGACGTGCTGCCGGAAGGCCTCGACGCACTCGGCGTGGCCCTTCTCCTTGGCCCAACGCAGCGCCGTCTTGCCGCTCATACCGCGCGCCGCCGTGTCTGCGCCCGCCCGCAGCAAGCACCGCACGACGGCGGGGTGGTTGAAGAAGGCGGCGTTCATCAGCGCGGTGGAGCCTTTGCTGCTCTGCAAGTTGACCTCTGCGCCGTGCTGCAGCAGCAGCTCGACCACCCGCTCCTGGCCGTAGCGGGCGGCGTGCATAAGCGCGGTAGCGCCGTTGCTGTTCTGCAGGTTGACCTCAGCGCCGTGCCGCAGCAGCAGCTCGACCACCCGCTCGTGGCCCTGGAGGGCGGCGCCCATCAGCGCGGTGACGCCGCCGCTGTTCTGCTGGTTGATCTCAGCGCCGCGCCGCAGCAGCAGCTCGACCACCCGTTCGTGGCCCTGGAGGGCGGCGCCCATCAGCGCGGTGCCGCCGTCGCTGCTCTGCAGGTTGATCTCCGCGCCGCGCTGCAGCAACAGCTCGACCAGCCGCTCGTGGCCGTGGTTGGCGGCGCCCATCAGCAGCGTGAGGCCGCTCACCTCGCCCTTCTCGTACGTCGCGTTGACCCGCCCGCCGCCCTCGAGCCACGCCAGCACCGCCTCCTCCTCGCCTCGCTGAGCTGCTGCGACGACCGCATCGGAGACTGCCACGCCGCCGCTCGACGCCCGCCCCGCCGCCGCCGCCGGAGATAGCGTCTCCGCGACTCTCGATCCAGCCGAGGAAGCGCCGCCGGAGGAAGCGCCGCCTGCGCCTGCGCCGCCGGCTGCCATCGCCGTGGGCCGTGCCGCCACGACCGACTCCTTGACGTGCTGCCGGAACGCCTCGACGCACTCGGTGTGGCCTTGATCGTTGGCCCAATGCAGCGCCGTCTTGCCGCTCGCACTGCGCGCCGCGGTGTCTGCGCCTGCCTGCAGCAAGCGCCGCACGACGGCGGGGCGGTTGAAGAGGGCGGCGTACATCAGCGCGGTGTAGCCGTTGCTGTTCTGCAGGTTGATCTCAGCGCCGCGCCGAATCAGCAAATCGACCACTTGCTCGTTGCCGTTGCCGGCGGCGCAGATCAGCGCGGTGCGGCCGTCGCTGTCCCGCAGGTTGACCTCAGCGCCGTGCCGTATCAGCAGCTCGACCACCCGCTCGTGGCCTCGGAATGCGGCGAACATCAGCGCGGTGCTGCCGTTGCTACTCTGCAGGTTGGCCTCTGCGCCGTGCTGCAGCAGCAGCTCGACCACCCGCTCGTGGCCTTTGACGGCGGCGTCCATCAGCGCGGTGATGCCGTTACTGTTCTGCAGGTTGAGCTCAGCGCCGCGCTGCAGCAGTAACTCGACCACCCGCTCGTGGCCTTCCTGGGCGGCGTTCATCAGCGCGGTGTGGCCGATGCTGTTCTGCAAGTTGACCCCCGCGCCGCGCCGTATCAGCAGCTCGACCAACCGCTCGTGGCCGTAGTTGGCGGCGCCCATCAGCAGCGTGAGGCCGCTCGCCTTGCCTCTCTCGTACGTCGCGTCGGCCCGCCCGCCACTGTCGAGCCACGCCAGCACCGCCTCCTCCTCGCCACGCTCCGCTGCTGCGCTAACCGCATCGGAGGCTGCCGCGGCACCGCTCGACACCGCCGGCGACAATTTACTCGGCCGCACCCGCACGCTCTCGCCGCCGCCCTCGAGCGCCACCGCGTACCGCCCGCCCTCGAAGCTCTGTGCCACGCCCCGCTGCCCGTTCAGCTCGGGGCGGGCCGAGAGCCCGCCGAGCACGACTCGCTGGCCGAGCAGCGGCGCGTCCACCGCTGCCGCTGCCGCGCCCGAGGAAGCGCCGCCCGCCCCTGCCCGGCCGTCTGCAGCCGCCGCCGCCTCCGACAAAACCTTGACGCACTCGGCGTGGCCCTTCTCCTTGGCAAACTGCAGCGCCGTCTTGCCGTGAAGAGTGCGCGCCGCGTCTGCGCCCGCCCGCAGCAAGCGCTGCACGACGGCGGGGTGGTTGAGGAGGGCGGCGATCATCAGCGCGGTGCCGCCGTTGCTGTTCTGCAGGTTGACATCAGCACCGTGCTGCAGCAGCAGCTCGACCACCCGCTCGTGGCCGTAGCCGGCGGCGGTCACCAGCAGCGTGAGGCCGCTGATGCCGTCTCTCTCGTACGTCGCGTCGGCCCGCCCGCCGCCCTCGAGCCACGCCAGCACCGCCTCCTCCTCGCCACGCTCAGCCGCTAGCACGGCCGCATCCGAGCAGCTCAGGGAACCAGCACCCACCATGGTCCCCGCTGTGTCGGCCCCGTGAACCGTCAGCTGTGAGAGCTCCTGTGTGTCTCTCACACCCTCACTGTCGGCGTATGCGTGCTTCTTGTTTTCTTATCACCCTATCTGTGAAGAGTGCGTAAGGGGTTGTTTTTGTCATGAGCTTGCCTGCGGCGAGGGCGGTCGAGTGCACGGAGCTAAGTGCCTCGCCGTCCTCGCAGGAGTCGCTTAGGCGGCTCCCGCGTGGTGTACACCTGTGTTAGTGCCAGTGCGCACCAGTCCCGTGCCTATAGTGTCGTGCGAGGAGTTGTTCGTAAGATTCTTTTTGTCAGTGGACAGTGCGCGCCAGTCCCGTGCCCAGGTACACCACAGGCAAAAAGAATTTTAGAAGAGGCGCGGCACCGGCTGAGACGGAAGGGGGGGGGGGGGCAACATGGCACGGATGCTGCATTTCCGAGCGTCAACATTTCACGACATCTGGTGGCTCCATCCGAAGCCGTTGTCGACAAAGTTCAGAGGTTCGCGAGAGTTGAACTCTACCCAGCTGCCGAGGTGGGCTGATAGCGGCGTGGCCAGCAAGAGTGTAACAGAGGGCTAGGCTGGTACGTTAGCTGGTGGCCGAGTAGGAGCTGCCACCCCCATGCGGCGTGCGGCACGCACGAGCCGCGCCACCGCGATTCGGCGTCGGAGGTGCTGCCACCGCCGCCGGAACAACCCCGCGTCGCAGGGCACCGCTCCCATGCCACAGAGCACGAGGCGTAAGCTCACCCTGCGGTGCTCCTCCGATGGATAGAGTGGCACCGCCACCGTGTCGAAGAGGGTGTACGGCGGCTGCCGCAGCACCTGCGGCGTGTGTTGAACCAAGGAGCGGAAAGGAACGCCGCCACGGGCGGGCTCCTGCTCGTGGACCATGGCGATGGCGATGCGCCGGTCCATCGCCGCTTGTACGAGGCGCGCGACGGCGCCGCCGGCGTCCAGAAAGGTCTTGTCGTTCAGGTAGAGCATGAACACGACGTGGCCCTCCGGGGCCGCATTGGCGAGCGCCTCCTCCGCCTCGCGGATTGTGACTACATCGGCGTTGGCAGCCAGGCCGCGCCCCTGCCTCGCGCTCGCCGCCGACTTGATCTCTTCCGACAATTCGAAAGCGCCCTCGTTGTCACGGCAGTGTAGGAGGGTGACAGGTCCGCTGAGGGCGACGGGCACCACCTCCCCGGGCACCGTCACGCCTGCTGCAAGCTCGGCCGTGCGCCTCTCATTTGTGTCACACCACGCGGAACGCATCTCCATCGCTTCGGTGAAGGGGGTGAACCGTGCCATCCTCGATCGCCGTGCAAAGCTCGCTTCCGAGCTCTCACGCCGCGCGTAGGGCCCTTAGGGGCCTAGAGAACACAACCCCCTCTCTCTTTTCTCCCAGTAAGCTATAAGTACGTACGCTATTACGAGAAGAAGCCGACGGGAGTTCATTATAGCTCCGAGTAGAGGGGGCGGTCTGCTGCTAGGGGAAACCCGGAGCGCGGAGCCAACCCTCGGAGACCCGTGTTTACTTTAAGGCCCTTGCCCTGCGAACGCGCGCCCCCCCCTAGCTAGGGGTCAGGGCTCTCTAGCCCGTAGCCCGATGCCAATCATCCGGCCCGCTGGGTGTGCTTCTTAGCCCCCCGGCCCTGGATGTGCGGTTACTGACTGCACTCCAAGTGCTCCAAGTTGTGGTAATTCTTTCTTTCTGCACACGCGATTTCACCTTCCGTTCGGATCGGGGGGGGGGTAGGCGCGTGCTAACCACCCCAGAGGTGGGGCAGTGAGCGGTGGCCTGCTGAGGAAGGCGCGCGGGCCACCGCTGGAGGTAATTGATGGTCGGCTCGTGGTCGAACTTGATGGAGCCATCCGGATTGTCGCGCCAGCAATCCTTGTTGCAGCCGAGCTCGGGGTCGGTGACGATCTGCCGCTGGCTCCCCGTCAGTGGCTGCATCGAGTGCCGGCCCATGAGCGCTGCCAACTCGTCCTGTGCGAGTGGGCAGCCGCTCCGGAGCGCGAGCGTCAGCCTCGCCATGTCCGCTTGCGACGGAAGCATGCACGCGATGAACTCGAAGAGCGATCGCTCGCCAAAGATAGGGTGCCCACAGGACCCCAAAAAAAGAAAAGAAAGGTGACGAGGCGTGCCGTGTGCCAGCAGAGTTGGGCGCGCGCGGCGCGACGGCGCCCGCGAGGGAAGGCGCGGGTGCAGCGGCCGCCGGCGGTCGTACCGCCCGTCCCCCCTCGGCGTTATTTGTCTCTGTCGTCTCCGCCTCCCCAATCTCGGGATCCTGGGCACGGCGCTCATCTGCGCCCCGGTCCCCGCCTCGCCCTCGCTGTCGTCTCTCTCCTCTTCTTCCTCCTGTACGAGTCATTCTTCGGAGACCGTACAGCTGTGCATCGCATCGATCTTCCTTTTCGTGGGAGCCAGCTGGTGGGAGCACTAGCTTGAAGCCCGCCCAGCAGCTCCCTAAGTCGTTAGTATCACCCGTTTCGCTCGCCCACTGCCGCTCCCTGCTCCCGGGGGGGGCGCAGCTTTCCGCACGATCGGGCACAGCGGGTGAGGCCTCGCTCTATTGCCGCCCTCGCCGCCGCGTATCTCGCGTGGCGAGTAGGTAAGGACCCGAGCGAGTCGACCTCTTGTTGAGTGCGCGCCGAGCGACATGGCCAGCTCTCCAGCTCGTCGTTTGGTCACCAGGAGTGGAGCGAAAGCCGCCTGAACCTCAGGACGTGCCACGTGGACCCATCCTTCCTTGTCCCACTTATCGAATTTGCCGAGGCGAGAGTACTCGTCCGAATTCCGGCGTTTTTCATATTTCCCACCCTACTACACTATTCCCGCGTGAGGGGTCACCACTGCATAGTGCGATTGGTCCTGCCGCGCACACCACAAAACGTATTTAGCAAACAACAATAGACGTCCAGGCTCACACAGTTGACACGGTCGGGGAAAGTCGAGCTTCTCCGCATGACTCGCTTTTTGGAGATACCGCTTCCCGGAGGCATGCTTGTTTCCTTTTGACGTCTGCGCCTTGTCTGTCGTGTGAATCGTGCGTGTGCGAGAGCCTTTTGTTGTGAAATTCCTTTTGACAGGGGGGGGGGGGGGGGAGGAACCTCTTCGTCCCAAGTGCCAAGAGCGCGCGCCAGCCTGTGTGTGCAGTCTCAAATAGATAGCGCCTCCCAATCGCCACCACGCACCATGGCGCTGCGCGAACAGCGCCGGGCGATGACGGCTATTACTTACCTGTTGGCTCTCTTCACAACAGGCTGTGTGTTTTGACCCTGTTGTTCGCTTGCTGATATGTGTCGTCTGATGTGTCACTGTGTGCGTCATATCAGTCTTGATAACAAGTACGGTCGATCCGTCAAAGCGATACACTCGTTCCTATCACATATTCTCCCACCCACCGGGACGCAAAACGCTCTCGGCGAGAGCCACAAGAAGGCGTCCACACAGCAAGCCGCTCGTCGGACAGGCGTGCTCGCTCGATGCCGGCGAGCGCATTGCGCACGCTTTGGACGGTGGCGAAGCCAAAAACACCGATGGTGGCCGTCCGCTGGCGTGAGCGGCGGCGGTCGAGACCTCACCCTTCTCGCCGACGACCCAACTTACGCGGAACAACCCAGGCCCAACCCAACCCAAAAAGTACGATTCTCCTGTTGGGCCCTCGGCAACGTTTGTCGGAGCATAGAACCGGCCTCTCTAGAGCTGAACTTCTCCCTTCCTCTGCTTGTGTGCGCCTGCGGCGCGATTTTCCCTCCCTATCCTCTTCACAGCGGGGGTTTGACTTCTTTGAGAGAGAGAGATTTTTAGCAATACCAAACAAATCTAACACTCACACGTCATTTGGGGCCTGCCTGGAGCCCTGTTCACGCGCGCGCGAGACGTGCAGACAGGGTTGCCAGGTGAGAGCGAATGGCGCGGTTCACGCCTCGCACAACAGAGAGAGAGATGCGCTCTGCATGGTGGGACATAAAAGAGAGCGAGTACTTGGGCGAGTAGGCCGTGCGGTCGACGCTGCCGCGCGCGACTTTGCGCGCGAGGCGGCGCAGCTTGAGAACGGCGGTGGGCGAGAAGCCGCCGCCGAACGTCTCGTGGAGCAGCAGGTTGAAGTTGTTGCGCTTGACAAAGATCGCGTCGTGGTAGAAACCGCGATGCGCCTTGACGTAGCCGTGGCCGGTCTTGTGGGAGAAGGGTTGGCCGGGCTGCCCGCGCGTTGCAGCCCTTTTTTTTGTTTTGTCTTTGAGTCCCTCTCCTTCGCTCTTCAGGGGCGCTGGCGCCGGCAACATCTGCTTGGAGGGCAACATCTGCTTGGCGTGAGGAGTGGGGAGGGTGTCTGTGGTGGGCTGTAGTCCTACTACTACTACTACACACACACACACACACACGCGGCTTGTTGGCCCTCTTCACAGCAGGCTGTGTTTCAAGGCCTGTTCTGCGCTCGCTCACCGCCGGGCGCCCAGCTTCTCGCCACTGCCTCGTCCTTGTCCTGGCATGTCGGCGTCCGGCGCCTTCCCGGCGGCAGCGGGGACGTCATCCAGCAAAGCCGGCGCTCCTGCGCCCGCCGCGTCGGGCCAGTCCGTCAACAAGCGGTGCGTGCGCGCGCGCCCCCTCCACACGCGCGCGAGCACAGGAGCTGCCCGGACCGCCGCAAGAGAGGCTGAGCAGAGGAGAAAAGGGGGCGCGCGCGCTGTGGTCTGTGCGGGCGGCGCAAGCCATTTTGGCGCGGCGAGGCGCGTCCCCGCCGCCCTGCGCCCCGCATGACTGAGCTGCCCTGGCGCGTCCCGCTGCGCAGGCTGCAGTCGGAGCTCATGTCGCTCATGATGGGCGGCGACGCGGGCATCTCTGCGTTCCCTGACGGGGACAACATCTTTCAGTGGACGGGCACGATCACGGGCGGCGCTGGGACGGTGCGCCGCTGTGAGGCCTCGCGATCCGCCGCAGCGCTGCTGCGCGCGCACGCAACGCTCTTGCATCGCGCGCGCTGACGCCGCGCTCCCTCGCAGGTGTACGAGGGCCTCACCTTCAAGCTGTCGCTCAAATTCCCGACTGGCTACCCGTACGAGGCGCCCGCGGTCACCTTCAACCCGCCCAGCTGCTTCCACCCCAACGTGGACCAGTACGGCAACATCTGCTTGGACATCCTCAAGGAGAAGTGGTCGGCCGTGTACAACGTGCGCACCATCCTCCTCTCCATCCAGTCGCTGCTTGGTGCGCGCCTCTCGGGAGACACACACACGCACACACGTACCGCGGAGGGGGAGCCAGCGCTCTCCCCCTTCCCCCTCGCCGCCTGCCCGAGTCTCGCTCACAAGCGCTCGGCGCGCCATCTCAGGGGATCCAAACCTCGACTCGCCGCTCAACGGGCACGCCGCCTCGCTATGGCCGAACCAGGCTGACTTCAAAAAGGCGCGCCTCTCTCCGCGCCCGCGGAGCGGCTCGCGCCGCCGCTCCTCCGACCCCCTCTCCGACCCCCCCCTTCCCCCCATGGAGCAGGCGCTGCTCAAGCACAAGAGCAGCTTGCCCTCCGGCGAGCGGAGGCCGTAGGACCGGCGCGCAGCCGCGGCGGCGGGCGATGCGGCGCCCAGGCCAACAGATGCCGCGGCGCGCTTAGAGAGCCCACGCGCGGAGCGGAGGGCGAGAGCAGAGCGCTCGGAGAGAGGTCGGGTGTAAGTCGGGGGCGATTCGCAGGGCCAGGGCGGGATGTGAGCTTGTTTGCGGGAGGCAGTGCGGGTTAACGCGCGACATGCAGAGTTGACTTTTAGAGGCTGATGCTGATGCTGTTCTACACACCTTGATCCTTGTGGCTTACAGATACAGCAAACAAGGACGCCCCTCCTCAAGACCTCGAGCTCAAGACCTCCTCGCCGGGCGTTGGCAACGCCTCGAGTGGCGGCACGCCCGCCTCCGTTGGCCACTCCTACGCCTTCGGCAACACCGAAGAAAAGGCCCGCCGCCTAAACATGGGCTGCAAGGCGCGCGGGCAGCCCGGCCAACCCTTCGACCACAACGGACCGGCCACACGGCTACGTCAAGGCGCATCGCGGTTTCTACCACGACGCGATCTTTGTCAAGCGCAACAACTTCAACCTGCTGCTCCACGAGACGTTCGGCGGCGGCTTCTCGCCCACCGCCGTTCTCAAGCTGCGCCGCCTCGCGCGCAAAGTCGCGCGCGGCAGCGTTGACCGCACGGCCTACTCGCCCAAGTACTCGCTCTCTTTTATGTCCCACCATGCAGAGCGCATCTCTCTCTCTGTTGTGCGAGGCGTGAACCGCGCCATTCGCTCTCACCTGGCAACCCTGTCTGCACGTCTCGCGCGCGCGTGAACAGGGCTCCAGGCCCCAAATGACGTGTGTGAGTGTTAGAGTTGTTTGGTATTGCTAAAAATCTCTCTCTCAGATACAGACCCCGTACTGCCCTTACACATCTGATCAGACATCTGTGAAGTGTCATCTCACCTTCCCCGTTCCCAAGATTCCGGACCGAACACTTTTACACAATAAATAATAAATAAATACAACGGACATCCCAAGCTACGGCTGGGTCGAGGACAGACACGTCCCCACCTTTGCAGGATTTTGCAAAAGCGAGGGGGGAGGGCGCATCGAACACTTTTACACGGCTCATTCCAAGGCCTAGTTTTTCTTTTTCGCTCCTGGCCTCTCTGAGCTCAATGATGGCGCTCGTCGCCGCTGCAGCCGGCCTGGCCGGTCCGATGGTATCGCTGCCGCGACCCATGCCGGCCGCGGCGCGGCCTGCTGTCGCGCGCATCTCGATGCAGCTCGAGCCATCGGAGGAGGTGTCGGCGGCCTTCCGCTCGCTCGGGATCGGAGAGGACGAGTCGTATGATGGCATCATGGCTGCGTACGAGACGCTGAAAGCGAAGAACGCGGGCAACACGAAGGCGGTCATCAAGCTCGAGGTTGCGAAGGACCGTGTGATGGACCACCGGCTGCGGCAGCGCATGAGCGGCTCGCTGAAGCCGGACCGCAAGTTTGGCGAGGACCTCAGGCCGAAGGATGCGAAGAAGCCGCTCATCACGCTGCCGCCGTTTCTGGAGGAGATTGCGGAGCTGCCGAAGCGGACGTACCTCGTGACCAACATCGCCGTCTTCGGCATCTTTGGCCTCCTGCCCGTCTTTGAGGCGTCGTTTGTCTCGAGCTCGATCGGGCTAAACTTTGGCATCGCAATGTTCCGGCTGTACAACCGGGGCGCGCCCGACACGGGCAACGACGAGGACATGGCGATGCGGCCAGTCAACAAGCGCGCCTCGTTCCTCACCTTCGGCATCTGCGGCCTCGCGACGGCGCTCGGCGGCCTGCTCGGACAGCTCCTCAAGCCCCTCCTCTTCTTCCTCTCAGAGTCGGCGGCCATCTCTCTCGGCGCCTCCGCGGCACTCTGCTTTGCCTGCTCCTTCTTCAAAGTGCAAGGGGAGTAGCGCCGTCGCTCTCTTTCCCGACACGCGGCCACTTCACACGCGCTGCACGTACGAGCGCTCCATGCCCCCGTGCACCCCGCGGTCTCCGATACACGTCTCTCCGCGGCGCAGAGCCCGCCCTGCGGGACGCGCGTAACAGGAACACGCCGGACGCGCTCTGTGTCGAGGTGTAGAGGCTAACGCGCACGAGTTTTTTCAAGACACTGAGAAGACGGGCGGGCGCGCGCGCGCCGCGCGCGCCGGGCCGGGCCGGCGGGCGGGGGCCCCGGCGCAGTCCGGGGGGAGTTAAATAAATAAAAAAAACGGACACCTCTACCAGGAGGGGTAAAAACTTCTCACAGCTCCTCCTTGCCACCACCCGCCTCTGGCGCCCCTTCCGGCTCCCCGTCCCTCACATGCCACCACGGCCACTCGCCAATCCGTGTCCCTCCGCTGCCGCCGCCGCCAGGGTGCCAGGTCTCAAAAAAGTTGCACGCGATGGGGAGGCCGAGCCGGTGGCGCGAGGCGAAGTCACGCGCCCGGTAGCGCTTCCGCGCGTCCGCCGGCGCGCCGTGACTAGCGCCGCTGCTGGCGCCGGCGGCCAGCCGACTGTCCTCTGCGTGGAGCGAGAGGCGGCCGTGCGGCTGCTCCCACAGGGCAAAGGTGACGCGGTGCTCAGCGAGGCAGAGGCGGTCGGCGGCGGGGCAGGGCTGCGGGCGGGCGCCCTCGTACCGCACGAGCGTCTTTCCCCGCGCGGTCTCGTTGGCCGGGATGTCGTAGACGAGCCAGAGGAGGCGCTCCGCCTCGGAGGGGGCGTCGCGGAAGGGGACGTCCTGCGCGCCGGGGGGAGAGGGAGGCTGGAGCGCGGGCGGGCGAGGGAGGGGCGGGCGGGCGGGCTGCACCGGGTCCACCGCGATGAGCGTGTGCAGCGTCCCCGGTCGACTGTGGCTCCCGAGAGCAAACCGGACGGTGGGGGCGCGCTCGACCAGGGCGGGCGCGATAGGCTTGCCGAAGCGAACCTCGCGCGCCGCCGGGCCCGCGCCGTACGTGAGGCCGAGCTCCGTCATAGGCACAAACGGACCGACCACATCCGGCACGACCTCTGCGTATTGCAGGTGGCTGTACGGGTAGCTGTGGTCTCGCGGGTCGTGCTCGGGGTAGGCGCAGCACGCCTCGTCGAAGTCGGCACTCCCGGCCGCAAGCCCACATAGGAGGGAGAGGCGCCGTCGAGGTGGCATGCTCACCGTCAGGAAGAAGAAATCGCGGAGGCCACTGAGAAAATACCCGCGAAGGCGCTGTAAACAGAAAGAAAGAAAGAAAACAGGCGCCCAGAACACTGCGAACAAGCGTGTCGGGAGCGGCTTGATTGATTGACCGCAGTCTACAGCGCCTTCAGCTGCCGCCGCCATGGGAGGGATATTGCCCAAGCCGACCGCGCTCGAGACCGCGACGAAGGTTTACACCCTCTTCGGCGAGGGCAAGATCCCCGAGATCGGCGAGCTGTACGCGGAGGGCGGCACGGTGACGTGGATGGGCGACAAGGGCAAGGAGGAGCACGACGATGGCTTCGGCGGCTTCGCGGCGGGCGTGCTCTCGCGCATCCCAGTCGAATGGCAGGGCTTCGCCCTCGACTGGGACAAGCGCGAGGTGCGCTCTAAAACAATCGCGATCGCGCGCAATGCTGCGCGCGGGCCGCCTGAGCCCATGAGACTGCGCCACTGCGCCGCCCAACGCCGGCTCGTTGGAAAATTCTCTCATGCGCCGCTCGCCTTCGCCGCAGGTCCTGATCGACGCGGGCCCGAAGTGTCTCATCAAGCTACCGGCGAAGACGTCGAACGGGCTGGACACGTACTTCGTCCACTACTACGAGGTGAACGACGCCGGCAAGATCCTGAAGTTCATGGCGCTCGACGACGGCGCCGGCCTCGCCAAGTACCGCGTGGGCACGACGGCGGCGGAGCCCGAGAATTAAGGGCAAAGGAAGGGGCATCAAAACCTGCCCGGTTCCTCCTCCTCTGTGGAGCAATCCTCTCTCATCTCTACCTCCTCCCTGAGAGATTCTTATGTTGTTGGCCAGTTGTTGCATGTTGGCAAAGCAAGACAATCGATGAGAGTCGTGATTTCTTGTTCGAGCTTTTCAAATAAGAGCTCACACAAAATCACAAAACACAAATCAATTGCTAAACATCTCTCTCTCTCTCAAAATCACTGCTCAGAGCGACAGAGAGGGTGGAAAGCGAACGTGTAGAGTGAATCTCAGAGACAGAGTGTAAGTGTTCAGTTGTCCCTCCGCAAACCACACCTGCTGTGAGTGAGTCCTTTTTTTTAGCAATACCAATTTTTGTTTTGGTGAGTGAGTGAGTATTCTTGACACGAAACCACGACGACACACACACGCCTGCTCTTCACATAAAAGCACAAGATCAAGAAACCGGCCGGGCCCGAAAATCGCACGAACGACAGCACAGTGACACTCTTCACAGCCTTGTGTTGTGTTGTGTTTGCCTTGTTATGAGAAGAAAATACGTCCTATGGCGCTATGCGCTGGTCTGTGAGAGGTTGAGGTGCGAGCCCTGGAGGCCCTTCACAGCACTCGCACAGCACAAGCTTTGTTTGCCTGCGCTGGCGGGTGGTGGCTTCAGCATGTGCAGCTGTTCTCTTTCCCGACTTGACCTGCATATACTTTTCCGGCAAACAAAAAGGAAAACAGAGGGTCCCCAGCACTTTGCGTTTCCGGAAATTTCCAGGGAAAACAGAGGGTGTTTCTTTGGTGCTCCATTCTGGAAACTCTCGAGTTTCCCTGAGTCTGAGAGCTGGTCTGGGGCAAAATCTGAGGCAAAATTGAGGAAATCGGCACGATACCCAGGCGGTCGCAGGGTATTTTCCAGGTATACCCGGGGGTTTCCAGGTATACCCGCAAAATACCCGGTATTTTGCCGATTTGGCTGATTTTGAGCCCAAACCAGCCTCAGACTCGGCTCAGAGCCCGGAAAATTTGATGGTTTCCCCGGGGAAATAGAGAGGAAAAGAGAGGGTGCTGTAGAGAAAAAAGGAAAGGAAAAGAGACGGGGTGCGAGAGGAAAAGTATATTCAGCCTAATTCCCGACGGACCCTGTGAAAAAGTGAGGCGTGGTCCTCGCCTGATTGGAAAAGGCAAAGAAAAGAAAAGAAAAAACAAACGCATACGCATCACGATTCCTGATCTCGCGTCTTAACAAGCAGGCATCAACAAGCAGGCGCGCAAGATGCGTACCATCTGGGTCCCCTTAGAGGGTGGATGGTGCGCAAACGCATTTTTCTTTTTTGTCGTGCGCAGCATCTTGAAAATTATTTTTTCCGTCAACGACGGCTTCTGGGAGGACGAATTAGAAGCCGTCGTCCGCGCTTTGCCTGTTGAGTGAATCGTGCGGCCCGTGAAATTCTTTTGTGGTCTGTGGATTCCTATCAGCTATCTCATGAAGAGAAGAGTTTGGTTTTTTGACTTTCTTCTTTTTCGACAGCACAGTGAGGTGTTCCTATCTCGACGGACCCTGTTCTAGCAAGACGGAACTGCCTTAGAAAAGAAAACGCGGCAGTGCGATTCCCTATCTCGCTGTGTCCGCGCTTCTCACTTGGTCCAAGCACGCCGAGCCTAGGCCGCCCTTGCCGCCCCTCGACAGACTCGATGCCGCCGCCTCCATCGGCCGTGCCCAGCAGCTCGCACCGCCGTGGCACTGTGCACGAGTCCGACCCGGACGTTGCCGGCGACGACGCCACCGCGGCCAAGGAGCCAGAAAGCTTCGTGTCGCTCTTCGAAGCCAACGTCGAGAAGCTTGGAGGGCAGAGGCTCTATACGTGGCACTCCTCGGCAGAGTGCACCGGCGATATCGTTTGGAGCTACACCGAGCTGGCGCAGCGAGGACGCGCCGTCTGCTGTGCGCTGCGGCGGCGGTGGGAGGTCGGCGACGGCGCCCGGGTCATGCTCATCTATCCGCCAGGCCTCGACTTCCTCGTCGCATTCTTCGGCTGCCAATACGCCGCCGTGATCGCCGTGCCCTACTACCCGCCCATCATCCCGGCGAGCCCGATGCCATCCGCTGGCGCCAAGAAGATGCTCGCCGACGGCTTGGCCAAGGTGGTTCGCATCTACAGCAGCTGCCACCCGGAGCTGCTGCTCTCCACGACAATGTGCGCCCTCGCCCGGCTGCCGCCGCGGCAGCTGCCGGCCGCGGGCAGCTCGGGGCTGGCCGGACCCACCCGTGGCAGCCCACGCCCCACCCCTCCCTCGGTCCCGGCCCGCAAGAGAGTGGCGAGCGCCCGAAGCAGCAGCGTGGTTCAGCACACGCGCCGGCCGCGAGCGCTACCTGTGCCGCCGCGCAGGTACCTGCGGCTCAAGTGGCTCTCGAGCAAGCTCCTCGGCGGCGACTGCTCCTGGCCCTCCTCCTGGAACTGGCGCGCCGCCAGGGAGGGAGGGGAGGCCAAGCCACGCCAACCGAGACGCCAAAGACTAGCCGCCCGAACACTCGCCGCCCGAACACTCGCCGCCCGAACACTCGCCGCCCGAACACTCGCCGCCCGAACACTCGCCGCCCGAACACTCGCCGCCCGAACATTCGCCGCCCGACCTCAGGCGCTCCACCGACGACCTCTCGACCCGCCTCCCGCCAAAGGAGGCGCGTCCCTCCCTCGCTTGCCGCTCCACACGAGCCCGCCGCCACTCCGCCTCGGGGGGGGCCTTCACGACGGCGCCGCAAAAAAGAATTCGGTGCGGACGCCGCTCCTCGTTGCGCAGGCGGCATGGCTGGAGGGCTGGCTGCGGCAGCGGCGCGAGCCGGTGGCGGCGGCACACCACGGCCCGGGGGGTCGTGAGGCTCGGCACTGAGCAAGAGGGGTCGTCGTAGGCGTCGCCCGACGAGATCGCTTTTCTCCAATTCACGTCCGGGTCGACGGGCCACCCGAAGGGTTGGAGAGCGGTCTGCCGCCGACGGGGCAGGCGTGAGTTGCTCGACCGCCGGCGGTGACTCGTGGCTATAGGCGTGATGATCTCGACCAACAACCTCGTCAACAATATCCTCGCCATGCGGCAGGTGCCGCCACAGCCCCGAACCACAGCCCCGCCGTCCCATCACGACCGCAGACACGTTGGCCGCTCCGCCGACGCGGTGGCGAGGGTGGCGGCGGCGAGGGTGGCGGCGGGGAGGGTGGCACCGAGGGTGGAGGCGGTGAGGGCGGCGGCGGCGAGGGCGGCGGCGGCGAGTGTGGGGGTGGCGAGGGTGGGGGCGGCGTTGGCGGTGCCGGTTCCCCTGCCGCCGCTCCTCGGCCCACCCTGCAACGCTCCCCCCTCCGGCAGACGACGCGCCGCATCCACCCGGTCGAGTCCATCTGCATGGTGTCGTGGCTGCCGCAGTACCACGACATGGGCATCATCGGCGCAACACACATCGCGTGGCGAGACCGCTGCGGCAGGGTTGGCCTCGTCCGGAGCCTCTGAGGTTCCGCGGTAGGCGGCTGCCTCTTTGCGCCAATCATCGGCTTCAGCGCCGACCTCATGTCGCCCGCCACGTTCCTGCAGCACCCGGTCGCGTGGCTGCGCGCAATCTCAAAGCTACACAAGACGCACCAGGTCTCCTCCGCCGCCGCGTCCCACCGTTCCCGCCCGCCCCCGACGCGATTCCCCCGCCCGCCCAGGTCTTCACCGCGTCGCCAAACTTCGGGTATATCCTGTGCCTCCGCCGCATCAAAGAGGAGAAGCTGCAGGGCCTCCGCCTCAACCACTGGAAGTGCGCCCTAAACGGTCTTCGCCGCGTCAGCGACAGGAGGGCCGACGTCAGGCTGCTTAGAGGTGCGCGAGTTGTGGGAATTTAGGCGCAGAGCCGATCCGCGCCGAGACATTGCGCGAGTTTGGCGCGCGCTACGGCGCTTACGGCTTCGAGCCGACGGCGTGGGGCTGCTCGTACGGGCTGGCCGAGAATTGCGTGTACGTCGCCGGCACGATGGAGCGGCCCGCCACGCTGCAGGTGCGGCGCGGGCTGTGGGCCGGAGACGTTGCGTGGCCTGCGGAGGAGGGCGACGGCGCGCTCTTCGAGTGCCCCGGCTGCTTCTTTCAGCCGGAGTGGCGGACGCACCAGTCGGTCCGGATCGTGCACCCGGACTCGCTGGAGGAGATGGCCGACGGGACCGTCGGAGAGATTTGGGTCGGCGGCCAATCGGTCGCGCGCGGCTACTGGGATTTGCCCGAGGTGTCGCGCCATACTTTTGGGGCGCAGCTGGCCGAGGCGGACGGCCCGGTGCACATGCGGTCCGGCGAGCTCCGAGCGCCCTCCCGCGGGGACGTTTGGGACGACACGGCCCTCAGGCCGGCGTATTCTCACCGCAGGCGACCTTGGCTTCGTGTGGGAGAGCCGGTTGTACGTCGTCGGCGAGAAGAAGAGAGCTGAGGCGGGCCGGGCCCCATTCGGGCCCCAAATCCGAGACGCCGAAGTGACTCGCTGTAGGTCGCATCAAGGACGTGCTCACCATGCGGGGCCGGACACTTCACGCGCACGACATCGAGGGGCATGCCGAGCGCGGCTCGGGCGCTCTTCGACCGGGCTGTTGCGCCGCGTTCTCGATCCAGCCTCCGGAAGAGGAAGGAGAGGTGCTGGTGTTGATGGCCGAGCTGCGGCCAGAGCAGGCCAACAACAGCGAGGCGGAGCTGCTGGCGGTGGTCCGTGACGTGGTCAAGGCGGTCAAGGACGGAGAGGGCATCAAGCCGCACGCACTCGTTCTCCTCAAGGTGCCCACCCCACCCCAACTACCATCCACCCCCACCTCACACGTCGCTGACGGCTTCCTCTCCCCACCTGGCTGGAAGGCCCGCGCCATCCTCAAGACCACATCCGGCAAGCTCCGCCGGCGCGAGCTGCGAGAGGCCTACCTGCAGATGGCCCAGGTCCGCGCTACGGGCGCCGAGCCGACGCGGCAGCGGTTGCTCATCCCGATGCAAGCGGTGAGTGTACCCCGCACGGCTCACGTCACCCTCGTGTTTGACCGTGTTGACCGGCGCTTCCCTCTCGGCACTCCTCGGCAGATTCATAGACCCCCCCCCTCCCCCCCCCCCCTCTGCCCCCCCTGCCCCCCAGGTCGTCCTTCACTGGGACGTTTCCCTCGCCGGGCTCGAGGAGCCGCAGGAGCAAACCCGCGATGGGGAGTCGACGCCGCCGCAGGGCCACAACAGCTCGCGCTCGCCTTCGAACAGCAAAGAGGGGTGGTGGGTGCATCGGCGCGACGCCCTCGAGCGGAGCCCGCCACGGTTCGAAGAGGCACCGTCGCCCCAAGGAACGGCCGGCGCACCCGTGGTGACTGAGAAGCCGATCTTGCCAGCGTCGCCAGAGACGCGGGCGGAGGCTGTGCTTCCGCCGCCGCCTCCGCCGGGGGGGCAGTCCCTGTACGCCAACCCCATCAGCTTGGAAGACCTGTACGCGCTCGCTGTCGAATGCCTCGGCTCGGACCTCTCGCCGGATGCACCGCTGATGGACGCCGGCTTCGACTCTGCAAACGCGCTCGAGCTCCAGGGCGAGCTCACCGAGCGCCTCGGCGTCTCGGACCTGCCGGAGACGCTCATGTTCGACTACCCCACCCTGCGCCAGATGGCGGCGCATTTCAACTCGTACACCACGACGGCGCTGCCGGCGGAGGAGGCGTGGAACCAGGACACGCGAGGCCTCGCCGATGCGCCCGTGGCAACCGTCGGCGCGATGCGCGGCGCGCTTGCCGGCGGTGTCTCCACGATGGCGGCGCTGGAGTCCATGGTCGGAACCGCCGCCGACAGGATCACGGAGGTGCCGCTGGCCCGCTGGGACCTCGGCAAGCAGCACGCAGCCAGCGACCTGATCGGCTTGCGCGCCCGGCACGGCGGGTTCGTGGACAACGCGGAGCTCTTTGACAACGCCTTCTTCAGCATTTCGCCGGCCGAGGCCAGAGACATGGATCCCCAGCAGCGGCTGCTCCTCGAGCAGGGGTACGCGGCGCTGCACGGCGCCGGCTCGGTTCGCGATTCTCTGGTGGGTCGCGTGGCGGGTGTCTATTTGGGCATCGCCGGGAGCGACTTTCAGCACATGGTGACGCGCACACCTGTGCACCTACGCGGTGTGTACACTGCGACGGGCAGCAGCCACTCGGTCGCCGCAGGCCGCATCTCGTTTGTGCTCGGGATGCAGGGCCCGTGCGTGTCGTACGACACCGCGTGCTCGGCGGCGCTAGCGGCGAGCCACGGGGCGCTGCGCGCGCTTCAGCACAAGGAGTGCACTGAAGGGCTTGTCGTGGGCGTGAGCCTCATGCTCCTTCCAGATTGCCACCTGACTTTCGCCATGGCCGGCATGCTCTCCGCCGGCGGCCACTGCCACACCTTCGACTCGCGCGCGGACGGGTACGCGCGTGGCGAGGCGTGCTGCGCAGTCGCGCTTCAGATGAGGGACGCCGACAGCTCAGCGGCCCTTCGTTTCCTCGGCAGCTGCGTGCGGCAGGACGGCAAGAGCGCGAGCCTGACGGCGCCCAACGGCCAGGCGCAGCAGGCCCTTCTAAAGGCCGCGCTCGCCGACGCATCCGTGCACACCGAGCAAGTAGCTTGCGTGGAGGCTCACGGCACGGGCACGGCATTGGGCGACCCGATCGAGACGCGGTCATTGGCGCACATAATCTCAAAACGCATGGCTGATGAGGCGCTCGCGTTGGGCAGCGTCAAGGCGAACGCCGGGCACACCGAGCCAGCTGCGGGCATCACGGGTCTGCTGCGGCTTGCCCTGAGCTTGCAGGACGGCCTTGGTGCCCCGAATGGCCAGCTGCGCGCGATCAATCCGCACGTTGGCAATTCGCTAAAGGGAATCGCTTGCGCGCTTCCGACCCAGCTGTCGGCCGCGCCAATATGTGCGGCCCAGACGGGAAGCGATTGCGCCGGCGGCGTGAGCTCGTTTGGGTACAGCGGCACGATCGTGCACGCGCTGCTCCAGGACGACGGCGTGGCGCGTGGCGCGGGCAGGCCGGCGGCGGCTTCGTCGCCGCATTACGTGCGCCGGTCTTTCGCGTGGTCGGAGCAGGCGCATCCGCTAGCGCAGGGGGTGGACGCGGCGGCGCCGAGCGGGCTCGTTCGCTACGCATCACCGGCAGCCGGCGCACTGCGTAGCTTGTCGGCGGACCACATCGTCCAGGGCCGCGTCGTCTTCCCTGGCGCCGGCTACCTCGAGATGGCGCGCGCGGCGAGCGACGCTGCGACCGACGCGGCGACCGACGCGGCGAGCAGCTTGCTCCGGCGCGTCTTCTTCCTGCAGCCCCTCTTGCTCGACGGCGACGTGGCACAGTTGCGCGTGGTGTGCGAGCTCAACGCGGCGGAGGAGCGCTTCGAGGTGCGAAGCGAGCTCACCGAGGAAGGGGCAAGCACCGCCCATTGCGGCGGCTCGACGGGTGCGGCGCCGCCGGACGACGAGCGGCGGCGCCCACAGCCGGCTGCGGTGCGCGGGAGCTGCGGGGCGGCGGTGAGCGCCGCGGACCTGTACTCCGCGTTCCGGGGGATGGGCCTCGAGTACGGCCCTGCGTACCGCACGCTCGCGGGCATGTGGGCGTCGCCAGCTTCGGGTGCTGCGGTGGGGCAGCTGCGGCGGCGCAGGCGGCTGCAGGGCACCTCCGTGCACCCAGCCGACCTGGACGGCGCGCTGCAGCTGACGGCGCTGCTCGCGACTGGCGCGGCGTCGGAGGTGCGGCTGCCGTTCTCGGTCGAGTCGGCAGCGCTGCGCGGCGCACGCGGCCACTTGTGCCCGGTGGCGGAGCGGCAGTCGGCGAGCACGACTCGCGTCGCTCTGGTGAGTCAGAGCCGACGCGGCGGAGGCGGCGCGCATTTGTCGGGCTTCGAGACGCGAGCCCTCAAGGCCGGCGCCGCCGCGCGGCCGGCTGCGCCGAAGAGGCACCTGTACGTGACGGCGTGGACAGCGCGCGCGCTGTCTGCCGACGCCGGCCCCGAGGCGGCGGCGGCATCATCGCTGGTCCTCTCTGGAGCGGTGTCGAGCGTCGCGTCCGGCGCGGGCGCCACTCGTGCGACGGCGGCGGCGGCTGGCGGGCCTCGCTCTGTCGCGTTTGCCGCGGGGGTCGGCGGCGCCCGCGCCGAGCGCGATTCGCTCGCCGTGATGGCGGCCGCCTTTGACATCGTGCGGGCCCACACCGCCAAGGTCGCGCTGCCGGTGTGGCTGCTGACGAGCCGCGCGTTCGGCGCCCGGCCATCGGGCGGGTCTGGCGCGTCCGCGCACGCGGGCATGATGGGTTTGGCCCGCCAAGTGCGGTCCGAGGCGCCGACGTGCCGCCTGCCAGTCATTGACCTCGACGCCGCCGCGGCAGTGGCGGGCTCGGCGGCGGCCGCCGCGATGCTTGGGCTGGGGTACTCGGGCTTGCCTGAGCCCGAGGTCGCTTTCGACGCCGGCCGGCCGCGCGTGCCGCGGCTGGCCGAGGCGCCCGGCTCAATCAGCGGGCCTGTTCGGATGCACTTCGACGCGCGCGGCGCGGTGTCGAACCTCCGGATCGTGCCTCAGGCCGAGGAGAGCTCCCCGCCCGCGGACGGCGAGGTCGAGCTGCGCGTGCGAGCGGTCGGTCTCAACTTCCGCGACGTGCTCAACGTCCTCGGCGTGTACCCCGGCGACCCCGGTCCTCCCGGCAGCGACTGCGCTGCAGACGTGGCTCGCTGCGGCGGCGGCGCGCCGCACCTGCGCGTGGGCGACGCTGTGCTCGGCCATGGCCTGGCGGCGCTGGCATCGTTTGCGCGGAGCGACTCGCGGCTGATGGCGGCGATCGACGACTCGCTGACGGTCGAGCAGGCGTGCACCCTGCCGACGACGTGGTGCACGGTTCACATGTCGCTCCTCGCGTCGCGGCCTCGCGCGGGCCACCACGCGCTGCTGCAAGCGGGCGCCGGTGGCGTTGGCCTCGCAGCGGGCGAGTACACACATTGGGTCGGCACGCGCGCAAGCGTGACGGTCGGCCGGCCGTACAAGCATTGGTATTTGCATGGCATGGGTCTGCGCGGCGAGACGCTCAGCTCGCGCGACGGCGGCGCGTTCCTCGCCGGCGCGGCGGCGCTCGTCCGCGCGTCGCGGCTGCGCTTCGTGCTCAACAGCTTGTCCGCCGACTTCATCGCTGGCTCGTTTGCGCTGCTGGGCGAGGGCGGCTGCTTGTGCGAGATCGGCAAGCGCGCGGTGTGGAGTGCGGAGCGGCTGCGGAGCGCGTCGCTTGCGCGCTACGTGGCGATCGCGCTCGACAGCACGATCGAGCAGACGCCGGTGTGGATGCGGGGCACACTCCAGCGGCTGTCTGCGCGCGCGGCGGCGCGCGTGCTGCACGGGCTGCCACTGCAGAGCTTCGGGCTGGAGCGCGGCCTGCTCTCCGCGTTCCGCAGCCTGCAGGCCGGCACAAACACCGGCAAGGTGGTCATCCTCATCCCCGCCACCGCCACCGCGCCGCCGCGCGACACGCATCTGCTCTCTGGCGGCACCGGCGGGCTCGGCCTGCTGACGGGCCGGTGGCTGGCCGCGGGCGGGGCCTCCACGGTTGTGCTCGCGGCGCGCGGCGGCGCGGTGTCGGAGGCGGACGGCGCGCGGCTGCGGAAGGCGCGGCCGCAATGCTCCGTGTGCGTGGCGCGCGCCGACGCGGCGGAGCTGGCCGACATCCGGCGGCTGGTGAGCGGGGCGCGTTGTGGCGAGGCGGGTCGGCTCGCGGGCTTGTGGCACGCGGCCGGCGTCCTATCCGACGGGTTGCTGCGCGCCCAGACGGCGAGCACGCTCCGCCGCGTGTACGCTCCAAAGGTACACGGCGCCTGGGGCTTGCAGCTTGCGTGCGCCGCGGCGCCGCTCGATGCGTGCGTCCTCTTCTCGTCCATCGCGTCGCTGATCGGCGGCGGTGGGCAGTCCAACTACGGCGCGGCGAACGGTTGCCTCGACTCGCTTGGCGTGTGTCGGCGGCAGCGCGGCCAGGCGGCGTCGAGCGTGCAGTGGGGGCCGTGGGCGGACGTGGGCATGGCCGCGAGCAGCTCGGTCAACGCGCGGATCCAGGCGTCGGGCATGGGCCTGATCGGGCTGGAGCAGGGCGCGACGGCGTTCCGTGCAGCGCTGCTGCCGGGCGTGCCGGCCGTGATGAGCTTGGTCGTCCTTTCGTGGGGCAAGTTCCTCGGTCTGATGCCGACGGTGCCGCCGCTGCTGGAAGGGTACGCCTCCCGCAAGGCGGCGCCGGCGGCGACTGGCGGGGCGTCTGAGAGCCGCGTCGTGACGCTCGAGATGATCATGGAGTCGCTCGAGTCGACCATCGGCACGGGCGTGGATGCGGACGCGCCGCTGATGGAGGCTGGCCTCGACTCGCTTGGAGCGGTCGAGCTCGGCAACCAGCTGCAGCAGGCGTCGGGGCAGACGCTGCCGTCGACGCTCATCTTCGACTACCCGACGGCGCGGCAGCTCGCGGCGTACTTCGAGAGCTCCTCCAAGTCTGCCGGCGGCAGCGACGAGGCGGCCGGCGCGGCGACGTCCGCCGCCACGGCGCGGGCGGCTGCGACGCCGTTCAGCGCGGGCAGCTCGAGCACGTCTGGCGTGGTGCGCGTGTGCGGGCTGAGCGCCATGATGCCAGGGCGGGTCGGCCTTGTGAGCGGACTGGCGCAGATGGCGTCGTGCGGCAGCGACCTGATCTCAGAGGTGCCGCTCGGGCGCTGGCGGGTCGGCGGGCCAGGCTTCCCGGATGGCGTGATCGGCCAGCGCGCCCGGTACGGCGGCTTCCTGAGCGACGCGGAGCTCTTCGACAACGCGTTCTTCAGCGTGTCGCCGTCCGAGGCGGGGGCGATGGACCCCCAGCAGCGGCTGCTCCTCGAGCGCTCGTTCGAGGCGCTGCACGGCGCGTCGTTCCAGAGGACCTCCCTGATGGACCTGGTCGCCGGCGTCTTCCTCGGCGTCGCGGCGAACGACTTTGCGGAGGTCGTGCGGACGACGCCGTCGCTCGCGCGCAGCGTGTACGCTGCGACGGGCAGCAGCCACTCGGTCGCCTCCGGGCGCATCTCGTTTGTGCTCGGGATGCAGGGCCCGTGCGTGTCGTACGACACCGCGTGCTCGGCGGCGCTGGCGGCGAACCACGCGGCGCTGCGCGCGCTCCAGCACCGCGAGTGCGTCGCCGCGCTCTCGGTCGGTGTGAGCATGATGCTCCTCCCCGGCGTCGGCATCACCTTCGCCACCGCCGGCATGCTCTCCGCCGGCGGCCACTGCCACACCTTCGACTCGCGCGCGGACGGGTACGTGCGTGGCGAGGCGTGCTGCGCCGCGACGCTGCGCGTCAGCAGCTTTGCCGCGCACGACACGCTGCGACTGGTCGGCAGCTGCGTGCGGCAGGACGGCAAGAGCGCGAGCCTGACGGCGCCCAACGGCCAGGCGCAGCGGGCGCTGCTGTGGGCCGCGCTCGCCGACGCCGCGATGCTGAGCGACCAGGTGGCTTGCGTGGAGGCTCACGGCACGGGCACGGCGCTGGGCGACCCGATCGAGGCGCGCTCGCTCGCCTCGCTGCACACGGGGCGGCAGGACGACGAGGCGCTCGCGGTGGGGAGCGTCAAGGCGAACGGCGGGCACGCCGAGCCAGCGGCGGGCATCACGGGTCTGCTGCGGCTGGCGGTCGGTGTGCGTGACCGGGTGGCGCCGCCGAACAGCCAGCTGCGCGCCGTCAACCCGCACGTGGTGGAGGCGTTCGACGGCATCTCGTGCACGCTTCCGACCCAGCTGTCGGCCGCGCCGGCGTGCTACGCGCAGGCGAGCGGGCTCTGCGCCGGCGGCGTGAGCTCGTTTGGGTACAGCGGCACGATCGTGCACGCGCTGCTCCAGGACGACGGCGTGGCGCGTGGCGCGGGCAGGCCGGCGGCGGCTTCGTCGCCGCATTACGTGCGCCGGTCTTTCGCGTGGTCGGAGCAGGCGCATCCGCTAGCGCAGGGGGTGGACGCGGCGGCGCCGAGCGGGCTCGTTCGCTACGCATCACCGGCAGCCGGCGCACTGCGTAGCTTGGTGGCGGACCACATCGTCCAGGGCCGCGTCGTCTTCCCTGGCGCCGGCTACCTCGAGATGGCGCGCGCGGCGAGCGACGCGGCGACCGACGCGGCGACCGACGCGGCGAGCAGCTTGCTGCGGCGCGTCTTCTTCCTGCAGCCCCTCTTGCTCGACGGCGACGTGGCACAGTTGCGCGTGGTGTGCGAGCTCAACGCGGCGGAGGAGCGCTTCGAGGTGCGAAGCGAGCTCACCGAGGAAGGGGCAAGCACCGCCCATTGCGGCGGCTCGACGGGTGCGGCGCCGCCGGACGACGAGCGGCGGCGCCCACAGCCGGCTGCGGTGCGCGGGAGCTGCGGGGCGGCGGTGAGCGCCGCGGACCTGTACTCCGCGTTCCGGGGGATGGGCCTCGAGTACGGCCCTGCGTACCGCACGCTCGCGGGCATGTGGGCGTCGCCAGCTTCGGGTGCTGCGGTGGGGCAGCTGCGGCGGCGCAGGCGGCTGCAGGGCACCTCCGTGCACCCAGCCGACCTGGACGGCGCGCTGCAGCTGACGGCGCTGCTCGCGACTGGCGCGGCGTCGGAGGTGCGGCTGCCGTTCTCGGTCGAGTCGGCAGCGCTGCGCGGCGCACGCGGCCACTTGTTCCCGGTGGCGGAGCGGCAGTCGGCGAGCACGACTCGCGTCGCTCTGGTGAGTCAGAGCCGACGCGGCGGAGGCGGCGCGCATTTGTCGGGCTTCGAGACGCGAGCCCTCAAGGCCGGCGCCGCCGCGCGGCCGGCTGCGCCGAAGAGGCACCTGTACGTGACGGCGTGGACAGCGCGCGCGCTGTCTGCCGACGCCGGCCCCGAGGCGGCGGCGGCATCATCGCTGGTCCTCTCCGGAGCGGTGTCGAGCGTCGCGTCCGGCGCGGGCGCCACTCGTGCGACGGCGGCGGCGGCTGGCGGGCCTCGCTCTGTCGCGTTTGCCGCGGGGGTCGGCGGCGCCCGCGCCGAGCGCGATTCGCTCGCCGTGATGGCGGCCGCCTTTGACATCGTGCGGGCCCACACCGCCAAGGTCGCGCTGCCGGTGTGGCTGCTGACGAGCCGCGCGTTCGGCGCCCGGCCATCGGGCGGGTCTGGCGCGTCCGCGCACGCGGGCATGATGGGTTTGGCCCGCCAAGTGCGGTCCGAGGCGCCGACGTGCCGCTTGCCAGTCATTGACCTCGACGCCGCCGCGGCAGTGGCGGGCTCGGCGGCGGCCGCCGCGATGCTTGGGCTGGGGTACTCGGGCTTGCCTGAGCCCGAGGTCGCTTTCGACGCCGGCCGGCCGCGCGTGCCGCGGCTGGCCGAGGCGCCCGGCTCAATCAGCGGGCCTGTTCGGATGCACTTCGACGCGCGCGGCGCGGTGTCGAACCTCCGGATCGTGCCTCAGGCCGAGGAGAGCTCCCCGCCTGCGGACGGCGAGGTCGAGCTGCGCGTGCGAGCGGTCGGTCTCAACTTCCGCGACGTGCTCAACGTCCTCGGCGTGTACCCCGGCGACCCCGGTCCTCCCGGCAGCGACTGCGCTGCAGACGTGGCTCGCTGCGGCGGCGGCGCGCCGCACCTGCGCGTGGGCGACGCTGTGCTCGGCCATGGCCTGGCGGCGCTGGCATCGTTTGCGCGGAGCGACTCGCGGCTGATGGCGGCGATCGACGACTCGCTGACGGTCGAGCAGGCGTGCACCCTGCCGACGACGTGGTGCACGGTTCACATGTCGCTCCTCGCGTCGCGGCCTCGCGCGGGCCACCACGCGCTGCTGCAAGCGGGCGCCGGTGGCGTTGGCCTCGCAGCGGGCGAGTACACACATTGGGTCGGCACGCGCGCAAGCGTGACGGTCGGCCGGCCGTACAAGCATTGGTATTTGCATGGCATGGGTCTGCGCGGCGAGACGCTCAGCTCGCGCGACGGCGGCGCGTTCCTCGCCGGCGCGGCGGCGCTCGTCCGCGCGTCGCGGCTGCGCTTCGTGCTCAACAGCTTGTCCGCCGACTTCATCGCTGGCTCGTTTGCGCTGCTGGGCGAGGGCGGCTGCTTGTGCGAGATCGGCAAGCGCGCGGTGTGGAGTGCGGAGCGGCTGCGGAGCGCGTCGCTTGCGCGCTACGTGGCGATCGCGCTCGACAGCACGATCGAGCAGACGCCGGTGTGGATGCGGGGCACACTCCAGCGGTTGTCTGCGCGCGCGGCGGCGCGCGTGCTGCACGGGCTGCCACTGCAGAGCTTCGGGCTGGAGCGCGGCCTGCTCTCCGCGTTCCGCAGCCTGCAGGCCGGCACAAACACCGGCAAGGTGGTCATCCTCATCCCCGCCACCGCCACCGCGCCGCCGCGCGACACGCATCTGCTCTCTGGCGGCACCGGCGGGCTCGGCCTGCTGACGGGCCGGTGGCTGGCCGCGGGCGGGGCCTCCACGGTTGTGCTCGCGGCGCGCGGCGGCGCGGTGTCGGAGGCGGACGGCGCGCGGCTGCGGAAGGCGCGGCCGCAATGCTCCGTGTGCGTGGCGCGCGCCGACGCGGCGGAGCTGGCCGACATCCGGCGGCTGGTGAGCGGGGCGCGTTGTGGCGAGGCGGGTCGGCTCGCGGGCTTGTGGCACGCGGCCGGCGTCCTATCCGACGGGTTGCTGCGCGCCCAGACGGCGAGCACGCTCCGCCGCGTGTACGCTCCAAAGGTACACGGCGCCTGGGGCTTGCAGCTTGCGTGCGCCGCGGCGCCGCTCGATGCGTGCGTCCTCTTCTCGTCCATCGCGTCGCTGATCGGCGGCGGTGGGCAGTCCAACTACGGCGCGGCGAACGGTTGCCTCGACTCGCTTGGCGTGTGTCGGCGGCAGCGCGGCCAGGCGGCGTCGAGCGTGCAGTGGGGGCCGTGGGCGGACGTGGGCATGGCCGCGAGCAGCTCGGTCAACGCGCGGATCCAGGCGTCGGGCATGGGCCTGATCGGGCTGGAGCAGGGCGCGACGGCGTTCCGTGCAGCGCTGCTGCCGGGCGTGCCGGCCGTGATGAGCTTGGTCGTCCTTTCGTGGGGCAAGTTCCTCGGTCTGATGCCGACGGTGCCGCCGCTGCTGGAAGGGTACGCTTCCCGCAAGGCGGCGCCGGCGGCGACTGGCGGGGCGTCTGAGAGCCGCGTCGTGACGCTCGAGATGATCATGGAGTCGCTCGAGTCGACCATCGGCACGGGCGTGGATGCGGACGCGCCGCTGATGGAGGCTGGCCTCGACTCGCTTGGAGCGGTCGAGCTCGGCAACCAGCTGCAGCAGGCGTCGGGGCAGACGCTGCCGTCGACGCTCATCTTCGACTACCCGACGGCGCGGCAGCTCGCGGCGTACTTCGAGAGCTCCTCCAAGTCTGCCGGCGGCAGCGACGAGGCGGCCGGCGCGGCGACGTCCGCCGCCACGGCGCGGGCGGCTGCGACGCCGTTCAGCGCGGGCAGCTCGAGCACGTCTGGCGTGGTGCGCGTGTGCGGGCTGAGCGCCATGATGCCAGGGCGGGTCGGCCTTGTGAGCGGACTGGCGCAGATGGCGTCGTGCGGCAGCGACCTGATCTCAGAGGTGCCGCTCGGGCGCTGGCGGGTCGGCGGGCCAGGCTTCCCGGATGGCGTGATCGGCCAGCGCGCCCGGTACGGCGGCTTCCTGAGCGACGCGGAGCTCTTCGACAACGCGTTCTTCAGCGTGTCGCCGTCCGAGGCGGGGGCGATGGACCCCCAGCAGCGGCTGCTCCTCGAGCGCTCGTTCGAGGCGCTGCACGGCGCGTCGTTCCAGAGGACCTCCCTGATGGACCTGGTCGCCGGCGTCTTCCTCGGCGTCGCGGCGAACGACTTTGCGGAGGTCGTGCGGACGACGCCGTCGCTCGCGCGCAGCGTGTACGCTGCGACGGGCAGCAGCCACTCGGTCGCCTCCGGGCGCATCTCGTTTGTGCTCGGGATGCAGGGCCCGTGCGTGTCGTACGACACCGCGTGCTCGGCGGCGCTGGCGGCGAACCACGCGGCGCTGCGCGCGCTCCAGCACCGCGAGTGCGTCGCCGCGCTCTCGGTCGGTGTGAGCATGATGCTCCTCCCCGGCGTCGGCATCACCTTCGCCACCGCCGGCATGCTCTCCGCCGGCGGCCACTGCCACACCTTCGACTCGCGCGCGGACGGGTACGTGCGTGGCGAGGCGTGCTGCGCCGCGACGCTGCGCGTCAGCAGCTTTGCCGCGCACGACACGCTGCGACTGGTCGGCAGCTGCGTGCGGCAGGACGGCAAGAGCGCGAGCCTGACGGCGCCCAACGGCCAGGCGCAGCGGGCGCTGCTGTGGGCCGCGCTCGCCGACGCCGCGATGCTGAGCGACCAGGTGGCTTGCGTGGAGGCTCACGGCACGGGCACGGCGCTGGGCGACCCGATCGAGGCGCGCTCGCTCGCCTCGCTGCACACGGGGCGGCAGGACGACGAGGCGCTCGCGGTGGGGAGCGTCAAGGCGAACGGCGGGCACGCCGAGCCAGCGGCGGGCATCACGGGTCTGTTGCGGCTGGCGGTCGGTGTGCGTGACCGGGTGGCGCCGCCGAACAGCCAGCTGCGCGCCGTCAACCCGCACGTGGTGGAGGCGTTCGACGGCATCTCGTGCACGCTTCCGACCCAGCTGTCGGCCGCGCCGGCGTGCTACGCGCAGGCGAGCGGGCTCTGCGCCGGCGGCGTGAGCTCGTTTGGGTACAGCGGCACGATCGTGCACGCGCTGCTCCAGGACGACGGCGTGGCGCGTGGCGCGGGCAGGCCGGCGGCGGCTTCGTCGCCGCATTACGTGCGCCGGTCTTTCGCGTGGTCGGAGCAGGCGCATCCGCTAGCGCAGGGGGTGGACGCGGCGGCGCCGAGCGGGCTCGTTCGCTACGCATCACCGGCAGCCGGCGCACTGCGTAGCTTGGTGGCGGACCACATCGTCCAGGGCCGCGTCGTCTTCCCTGGCGCCGGCTACCTCGAGATGGCGCGCGCGGCGAGCGACGCGGCGACCGACGCGGCGACCGACGCGGCGACCGACGCGGCGAGCAGCTTGCTGCGGCGCGTCTTCTTCCTGCAGCCCCTCTTGCTCGACGGTGACTTGAGTGCAACGGCGGTCAGCGTGGACATCTCCATGGCCGACGAGCGGTTCGACGTCAACACCGAGGACATCGAGACGGGCAGTAAGACGTCGCACTGTGCGGGCGGTGCGTCCATCCTCCAGAAGGCGGTGCGCAGCTTGTCGCACGCGGGCTTGCGCGCGTCGTGCGCGCAGCCAGTCGACGCTGCCGTCATCTACGCGGGCTTCCGCTCGGTCGGCCTCGAGTACGGCCCCGAGTACCGCACGCTCACTTCGGCGCGCGTGTCGCGCGATGCGGGCGTCGCTGTTGGCCAGTTGCGCCGGCGCTCGCGCAAGGAGGGCACGAGTGTCCATCCGGCCGACCTCGACGGCTCGCTGCACCTGACTGCCTTGCTGGCCGAGGCAACTGCGGCGGGCGAGATCCGGCTCCCCTTCTCGGTCGGCGAAGCGGCGCTGACTGACGTTAGCGGCTCTTCGTGGCCGGTGGCGGAGCGGCAGGGCGCCAATATGACGGGCGTGTGGGTTGGGGCCAAGGACGCCAAGTCGGCCAACTCGCCTGGTGCACGCCTGAGCAACTTTGAGACGCGCGTGCTCAAGGCGGCGCCTCTGGCAACTCCGGCACGCAAGTCGACCCACCTGTACGTCACGTCGTGGCAGACTACGACGGTGCCGGCCGCTGAGGACGCCAAGGCAGCGCTCGTGATATGCGCCTCGGCTCTGGCCGGCGCTACCTCGAGTTTTTTTAGCGCTGCGGGAACGGCGCCGCCAACGTCGATCGGCTCAGTGGTGTACGCCGTCGGCCTCTCTGCTGGCGCCAAGGCCTCCCACTCGCTCGCCGGCCTGATGGCCGCGTTTGATGTTGCGCGCACGCACACCATCACGCGTTCGACGCCTCCAATGTGGATGGTCTCGGCTGGCGCCCTTGCCGCCCGCTCGAATGGCACCAGCGTCTCGAGCCACGCGGGCCTGATGGGCCTGACCCGCCAGGCGCGTTCCGAGGCGCCGCAGTCGTGCTTGCCAGTCATCGACTTGGACGTGCTCAGCCCGGGCGTGACCGAGCTGGCGGCGGTGTCGAAGCTGGCCGGCAAGCTCGGCCTTGGCTACAACGGCACGCCCGAGCCCGAGATCGCCTTTGACGGCACGAGCCAGCGCGTGCCGCGCCTGACCGAGGCGGCCGGCTCGCTGGGCGGACCGATCAAGCTCTACTTCGACGCCCGCGGCGCCGTCAGCAACCTGCGGGTGGTCTCGCAAGAGGAGGACGACTCAGATTCGGTCCACGGTGAGGTCAAGCTGCACGTTGGCGCGGTCGGCCTCAACTTCCGCGACGTACTCAACGTGCTCGGCGTGTACCCCGGCGACCCGGGCCCTCCCGGCGGTGATTGCGCAGTTCACGTTGCTGCCGTGGGCACCGGGTTCTCGCACCTCAAGGTTGGCGACGCAGCGCTTGGGCACGGCCTCGCTGCTCTTGCTTCTCTGTCTAAGTCTGACGCGCGCCTGATGGCGGCCATCACCGACTCGCTCTCGTTCGAGCAGGCGTGCACCCTGCCGACGACGTGGTGCACGGTTCACATGTCGCTGCTCGCGGCCCGGCCGGCGGCTGGCCACGACGTGCTTCTGCACGCTGGCGCTGGTGGTGTCGGCCTGACCTCGCAAGAGTACTGCCACTTCATCGGCAATTGCGCGATGGCCAACGTCGGCCGGCCGTACAAGCACTTCTATCTGCACAAGATGGGCCTCGCCGGCCGCACGCTCAGCTCGCGCGACGGCAGCGCCTTTGCGCTCGGCGCGTCGAAGCTGCTTCGCTCCGGCCGGCTGCGCTTCTCGCTCAACAGCCTGTCGGCGGACTTCATCGCGTGCACCTTCGCGCTGTTGCAGCAGGACGGCCGTTTGTGCGAGATTGGTAAGCGCGCTGTGTGGAGCTACGAGCGGCACGAGGTGGCGTGCTCCAACAACTTCACGATGATCGCGCTCGACTCGACGATCGACCAGGCGCCGTGGTGGATGTGCGGTACGCTCAGGACTCTGTCCGCACGCGCGGATGCCTTTGTGCTCCACGGCTTGCCCATGGAGCTCTTCGACCTCGAGAGGAACGTCTTGGCCGCCTTCCGCACGCTGCAGAGCGGCACCAACACCGGCAAGGTGGTGGTGCGCATCCCGAAAACGGCCCCGACGCCGCCACGCGGGGCCCACCTGCTCTCTGGCGGCACGGGCGGCCTCGGCCTGGTCACGAGCAAGTGGCTCGGCGAGAGCGGCGCTTCTTCGGTGGTGCTCGCGGCCCGCGGCGGCAAGGTCGCCCCTGCGGACAGCGAGACGTTCAAGAGGATCGCCAAGTGCAGCTTCAGCGTAGTCAAGTGCGACGCGGCCGAGCTGGCGGACACCGCTCGCATGGTGGGCGCCATTCTTGCCAAGGACAGCACGCTGGCGGGCGTGTGGCACGCGGCGGGCGTGCTGTCGGACGGGCTGTTGCGCGGCCAGAACGCTTCGACAATCAAGCGCGTCTTCGCGCCCAAGGTGGCTGGCGCGTGGGCGCTGCAGCAGGCGGCCGCCATGGCGCCGCTCGACACGTATGTGCTCTTCTCGTCTATCGCCGCGCTGATTGGTGGCGGCGGCCAGTCCAACTACGCTGCGGCCAATGGCATGCTCGACGCACTCGGCGCTTGCCGGCGCGTGCGCGCCATGAACGCGACGTCAGTGGAGTGGGGCCCGTGGGCGGCCATCGGCATGGCAGCGGACGAGTCAATCAATGCTCGCATCCAAGCCAGCGGCATCGGGCTCATCAGCCTCGAGCAGGGAACACTTGCCTTTCAGGCGACGCTGCAGCCTGCCGTGTCTGGCGTGATGAGCCTGGTGGTGCTCACTTGGAGCAAGTTCCTGAGCCTGCTCCCAGAGGTGCCACCGCTGATGGCCAACTACGCAAGCCGCAAGCGCGCAGTGGCGACTGGCAGTGGGAAGGTGAAAGAGGTCACGCTCGAGATGATCCAGGAGACGCTCAAGTCGACGACTGGCAGCGAGGTCGACCCCGACGCGCCGCTGATGGAGGCTGGCCTCGACTCGCTTGGAGCGGTCGAGCTCGGCAACCAGCTGCAGCAGGCGTCGGGGCAGACGCTGCCGTCGACGCTCATCTTCGACTACCCGACGGCGCGGCAGCTCGCGGCGTACTTCGAGAGCTCCTCCAAGTCTGCCGGCGGCAGCGACGAGGCGGCCGGCGCGGCGACGTCCGCCGCCACGGCGCGGGCGGCTGCGACGCCGTTCAGCGCGGGCAGCTCGAGCACGTCTGGCGTGGTGCGCGTGTGCGGGCTGAGCGCCATGATGCCAGGGCGGGTCGGCCTTGTGAGCGGACTGGCGCAGATGGCGTCGTGCGGCAGCGACCTGATCTCAGAGGTGCCGCTCGGGCGCTGGCGGGTCGGCGGGCCAGGCTTCCCGGATGGCGTGATCGGCCAGCGCGCCCGGTACGGCGGCTTCCTGAGCGACGCGGAGCTCTTCGACAACGCGTTCTTCAGCGTGTCGCCGTCCGAGGCGGGGGCGATGGACCCCCAGCAGCGGCTGCTCCTCGAGCGCTCGTTCGAGGCGCTGCACGGCGCGTCGTTCCAGAGGACCTCCCTGATGGACCTGGTCGCCGGCGTCTTCCTCGGCGTCGCGGCGAACGACTTTGCGGAGGTCGTGCGGACGACGCCGTCGCTCGCGCGCAGCGTGTACGCTGCGACGGGCAGCAGCCACTCGGTCGCCTCCGGGCGCATCTCGTTTGTGCTCGGGATGCAGGGCCCGTGCGTGTCGTACGACACCGCGTGCTCGGCGGCGCTGGCGGCGAACCACGCGGCGCTGCGCGCGCTCCAGCACCGCGAGTGCGTCGCCGCGCTCTCGGTCGGTGTGAGCATGATGCTCCTCCCCGGCGTCGGCATCACCTTCGCCACCGCTGGCATGCTCTCCGCCGGCGGCCACTGCCACACCTTCGACTCGCGCGCGGACGGGTACGTGCGTGGCGAGGCGTGCTGCGCCGCGACGCTGCGCGTCAGCAGCTTTGCCGCGCACGACACGCTGCGAGTGGTCGGCAGCTGCGTGCGGCAGGACGGCAAGAGCGCGAGCCTGACGGCGCCAAACGGCCAGGCGCAGCGGGCGCTGCTGTGGGCCGCGCTCGCCGACGCCGCGATGCTGAGCGACCAGGTGGCTTGCGTGGAGGCTCACGGCACGGGCACGGCGCTGGGCGACCCGATCGAGGCGCGCTCGCTCGCCTCGCTGCTCACGGGACGCCGGAATAACGAGGCGCTCGCGGTGGGGAGCGTCAAGGCGAACGGCGGGCACGCCGAGCCAGCGGCGGGCATCACGGGTCTGCTGCGGCTGGCGGTCGGTGTGCGTGACCGGGTGGCGCCGCCGAACAGCCAGCTGCGCGCCGTCAACCCGCACGTGGTGGAGGCGTTCGACGGCATCTCGTGCACGCTTCCGACCCAGCTGTCGGCCGCGCCGGCGTGCTACGCGCAGGCGAGCGGGCTCTGCGGCGGCGGCGTGAGCTCGTTTGGGTACAGCGGCACGATCGTGCACGCGCTGCTCCAGGACGACGGAGATGGCGGCCAGGCGCCGGTTGACAGCGTTCCAGTGCGCTTTAACCGTCGGCGGTTCCCTTGGCCGCGGCCAGCCATTGTCGCCGCTGCAGACGAAGCGGAGCTCCTGGGCTTTGGATTCTCCTGGGTCGATTCGGACGTCCCTGAGGCGGGCGGAAATGGCGGCTTGGATTGGCTCTTGATCGGCGAGCGGAAGCAGGTTGGCCCCGCCTCGCGCGTCTACCACGAGCAGCCGTCGAAGGTCACAGCGCTCAGCGAAGTCGGCGGCAAGTCCGTCAGGAACGTCGTTCTGCTTGCGGAGACGCATGATGCCGCTGCTCCGTCCATGCTAGGGATGTCCACGCTGCTGGCAGTCACGAGGCAGCTCATCCAGATGAAGCCCCCTCCCAGGCTGTTGTGCCTCTGCCGAGGGACGCAGCACCCGCGACCGTTGGAGCTAGCCGAGCCGATGGCTGCAGCTTCAGCCGGCGGCGTCTGGGGGTTCCTGAGGAGCGTGGCCCTCGAGCAACCCGCTGCTGATTGGCTCATTCGTGACGTGCGCTCCGAGCCATCAGCCACAGAGGTTGCCCGGATGCTGCGTGCAGCGGCGGCCTTTGGGGAGGACGGAGGCGTGCCGAGGGAGCTGGCCCAGAGCTCCAGCGGCACGTGGCATGCGCCGAGACTTGTGCGCACTGGTGCCATCCCTTCCAGTGCGGACAGCGTCAGCGGCGCCGGGGTCAACATCATCACCGGGGGACTCGGCGGCCTGGGGCTTCGGGCCGCAAAGGCGCTGGCGGGCGATCCATCCTCGCACCTTGTGCTCTCGTCGCGGAGCGGGCGCATCACGCGCGCGGGGCAGGGCCTCGGTGCGCAGCTGCGCTCGCTTGAAGCCTCGAAGAGCAACTTGCGCATCCGTGCGTGCGACATCGCGGCGCCGGAGGACGCCGTCGCCCTCCTTCGCGAGAGCCACTCGCTGCGGCGTCCGCGACTCGCGACCCGCGTGATCCACGCGGCAGGCGTCCTGGCGGACGGCCTGGTGCGGAAGCTGACTCCCAGCGACCTTGGCGCTGTCTTTGCCGCCAAGGCTCACGGAGCAGCTGCCATCCATTCCGCCTCGACCACTCTCAACTTTTCCGCGTTTGTGGCATTCTCCTCCGTCGCCTCGGCCTACGGTAACATTGGCCAGGCCAACTACGCCGGTGCCAACTCGTACCTCGACGTGCTTGTGACCCTGCGGCGTGCGTGCGGGCTACGTGGATGCAGCCTGCAGCTGCCCCCAGTCGGGGGCGCGGGAATGGGTGAGGCGCTCGCCTCCAAGTTCAGCGGAATGGCCGAGATCTGGACACTGCCGCTCGAGCGGTACGCCGCGTGGCTTGCCCAGTCCCTCTCCCTTTGCCCCTCGGCCGTGGCGACCGCCCTCAGCAGTGATGCCCTCGCCCAGTTTCCCGTCTCGGCCCGGGCACTGCTCGTTGACGATGCCCTCGGACGCGGCGCGGCGTCCGCGATGCCGCCCCCTTCCGGTCCCGCTCGTGCGGCGGACCTGAGCACGGAGCAGATCCAGTCGACCCTCCTGCGGGAGGTCACTGCGCTCACGAGCATCGACGCCCTCACTGTGGACACGCCTCTGATGGAGGCGGGCGTCGACTCGATGGCGGCGCTCGAGCTGCGCAACCGCGTGGAGGAGGTGATGGGCGTCCGCCTGAAGAACGAGGACCTGCTCGCAGACGCCGACGAGCTCACGGTCGCACAGCTCACGAGCGCGATCGAGCGGCGCGCCGCCGGCGCCGGCGGTGGCGCTGCGGGCGAGAGCGGCCCATCAAGTGGCGGGTCGGTGAGTCTGAGCTTCATGAACACGTCGGTCGTGGCGGGCACGGCCGCGCCGATCGCCGAGCGGCTCCGCCGCCCGATCCTCTTTGTGTTGAGCAGCCCGCGCTCGGGCTCGTCGCTGCTGCAGCTCTGTCTGCAGGCCAACCCGGCCCTCTACGCCGGCCAGGAGCTGTACCTGCTCATGTTCGACTCGATGGGCGAGCGCGCCGCCGTGCCCGAGATGCGCTTCGTCGAGGAGGGCCTCGTCAAGACCATCATGGAGCTCAGCGCCAGCTCGGCGGCCGCCGCGCGCGCGCGCATCGCGCGCTTCGGCGCCGACTGCCCGACGTGGCGCGTCTACCAGGCGCTGCAGCGAATGAGCGGCCCGCGCATGCTCGTCGACAAGACGCCCGCCAACGCGAGCCACGTCTCCTTCATGCGGCGCGCGCGGGAGACCTTCGAGCACGCGCGCTACATCCACCTGATCCGCCACCCGTACGCCTGCATCTCGTCCGGCCTCCAGATGTTCCGCGACTTCCTCGACGTGTCCGAGACCACGTGGGCTATGGTGGAGCAGTCGTGGGTCGACACGAACCGCGCGTGCGACGAGTTCATGGCGGAGCTGCGCGCGGAGCAGCCCGAGCAGCGAGGGCAGTCGATGGTGCTCCGCTACGAGGACTTTTTGCGCGACCCGGCGGGCGCGACGCGCGGCGTCTGCGAGGCGCTTCTGGGCGTGGAGTGGGCGGAGGGGATGGCCAACCCGTACGAGACGAGCGCGATTCAGAGCTTCGAGGCGGCCGAGTCCAAGTCGACGACCGACCAGAAGCTGCTCAAGCGCAAGGCGATCGAGCCGCGCCAGGCAGAGAAGTGGCGCGAGGTGCAGCTGCCGCAGCCGCTGCTCGAGACCACAAAGGCGCTCGCGGCGGGGCACGGGTACGAGCTCCTGCCGGACCTCACGCCCGAGCTCTCGTGGATCGCCCAGCCCGAGGGCACGCCAGCCGGCGCGCCGACCGTCTGCATCCACGACTTCACCGGCCTCTTGTGGGGCTTCCGCGCGCTCGCGCCGCTGCTGTCAACCTCGGGCTGCCTCGGCATCCATGCGTCGACGCGGCTTCTCGACGGGTGCGCCTGCATGCAAGAGCTCGCGGCGCAGTACGTGCAGCTGCTGCCAAAGGGCCTGTGGATGGGCGGGGCGCCGGTGCGGCTGATTGGCTACTCGCTCGGCTGCCGCGTCGCCTACTGGATGGCGTGCCTCCTCGAGGCGGAGGGGCGGCCGGTCGAGCTCGTGCTGCTCGACGGGCCGGCGGCCGGCGACGACGGCTACCCGCCGCGGATGGGCGGGTACGCGTCGGAGGTGGCCGAAGAGATCCGGCTCAACATGGGCCTCGCGCCGCCGCCGGACGGGCGCCCCGCCTCGCTCGGGCCGCAGGGCGGCGGCGCCGGCTCGGCGGCGCAGGCCATGCAGTTTGCGGTGATGAAGCGCTCCGGCTCGTTCCGGATGCTCTTCACCCTGCTCGAGGATGCGGGCGAAGACGCCGCCGCCGCCGCGGTGCGGCTCATCGAGCTGCCCGACCGCGTGGCGGAGCCGCTCGGCCCGGTGCGAGCGCCGGTCCTCTTTGTGCACACGGAGCAGATCCGCGAGAACGGCACCGCCGGCGTGCTGCTTGAGCGCGTGCCACACGCGACGGCCGTCAAGGTTCCGGGCGACCACTTCTCCTTCATCACAAAGAGCGCGACGCAGATTGCGGAGGCGGTCGCGGGGTGGCCCTCGCCGTCCCCAGCGTAGTCCATAGTACAGTGTTGTGTGTGTACTACAATCTACATGCAGGCCGTGTTGGTTTGGCCAGATACCATGTGAAGTTTGGGGGGGGTTGTTACGAGTACTCGCTATGATCTGAGTGTCTTGGGAATTCCATGTGTAGAGCGGGAGATCGGCACGAGCTTGATTTCTGAGAGACGAACAGTCAAGAGAATTCTCGCGGCGAATTCGTTTACTTTCTAAATCACTACGCACTTGTGTCTGTGAGGACACCGATCTCACCGGCACACTTTGCAGCTATCAGCTTACACGCAAACAGATAACTTCTCGCAGCTGCGAGACGAGTTTTCTCGGAGCGACAGCCTCAAAGAAAAAGAACCGGCGTGCAGAGAGTGGTGACGGCAGGCCGGTGCCGGTGGCGGCGGCGGATAAGAGGCATACGCCAGCGGGAGCAGCGTGACGACAAGGGTACCCACGAGGCGGTACCTGGGAGCACTGCCGGCTGTGTGAAGCGCTATTTCCTGCTCTCAACAGCTCACCACCTCGCCTTCTCTGTCCCTCTTACCTGGCCCAGGCCCATCAGTAGCAGGTCTGATCTGTCCCACACCGCACTTATCTTTATTCCTTGAGTCAACGAACTATAAACATGTGCATGCACAGCGGCGTTGGCCACAAATAGTAAAGCACCGCCGTACAAATCTAGTAAAAGGAGCTCTGGCCGGGGGGCACGCGATCCCACCGGATCAGGCACGCGGGTTCATGGGCGCAGCCCTCAACATGCCAAGGAAGCTCGATGGTGTAGTGCACAGGATTCAGGATCGGCCAGCGCGGTTGACGGCAATGTGGAGCTTAGGCCTTCGCCGCGCGCCGCGTCGCCTTCTTAGACGTCCTCGGTGGCGGTGCGCGAAGGCAGGTCCTTGTCTCCGTAGGCCCGCGGCGCGCCCTTCTTGACGAAGAAGTAGTACACGGCGAGGCCGAGGAGAATGACGCCGACAGGCACGCCCACGGCGACGCCCACGACCCAGCCCGGCTTCTTCTTGTCAGACGACGGGGAGGAGGGCGGCGGCGACGAGGGCGGCGGCGACGAGGGCGGAGGCCCGATAGGAATCTCGACGGGGGGCTCGTCGAATGTGGCAGACCTGCCGGACCCCAGCTTAGCGCCGAGGGTCACGAGAAACTCAATCTGATCGTTGTTGGTCGCGGTGGCAGCGGTCTTGATCTCCGCGGCAGTCTGCCCCGCCGCCGGCACGATGGTCACCCTCACCTTGTCGTCGCCGAGATCCTCGAGGGCGATCTGCTCAGACGTAACGGTGACTGGGGAAGCAAGGGTAGCGAAGGAGTCGATCACAGCAGTCATGATCTCATCGAGGTCGATGGTATCCAGAGAGCGCAGGCGGCGTGTGGTTGGGGCCGCGATCGAGAGGGTGAAGGAGACGGCGACGCTCGTGTCCGGCGGCAGAGGCGTGCAATTGGAATCCGTCGTGCTGTCCGGCGACTCCACGAGGTACTCGCTCGCCGTGCAATCCGTCGTCTTCGGCGTGCACGATGTGATGGCGTTCACGCCCTCCTTGAACTCCGCAGCGGCGCACGCCGTGCACGTGGCGTCCGACGTCTTGTCTGTCGATGCCGTGAAGTACTCGCCCGCCGGGCAATCCGTCTTCATCTCCGTGCAAGTGGCGTCCGACGTCTTATCAGTCGATGCCGTGAGGTACTCGCCCACAGGGCAATCCGTCTTTTTCGGCGTGCACGCATCGGCGCCGATGCCGGGCTTGAAGAAGCCGTCCCCGCAAGGCGTGCAAGCGATTTCGAGTGACGGCTCCGGCTCCGGAGCCTCGAGGCGGCGCAGCGATGTAGGCGGCGAGGGCGATGCCGACGGCGGCGGCGACGGCGATGCCGACGGCGGCGGTGATGGCGATGTCGACGGCGGCGGTGCTGACGGTGGCGGCGCTGACGGCGGCGGCAGTGCGGGCGGCGGCGAGGAAGGCGGAGCAGCAGCTTCGTAGCCAGCACCGCAACCAAGAATGCCCTTATCGTCAAGAACCGCGCCGTCGGTCAGCTCGATCGTGCCACCCAGACTTTCGATGGTGCCGGTGTTGTTGAGCATGGCGTCCTCTCCCCGTAGACTGATCTCTCCGGCGGTGCTGATTTTGCCGGCATTCTCGAGCTCCGCGTTCTCGAGCGCGATCTCACCCTCCTCGGAGTTTTCGATGATGCCGGTGGCCGTGTTGGCGAGCACCGCGCCGTACGCGAGCTCAACCCTCCCCTCGTTGTTGACGGTGCCCGCATTCTCGAGAACAGAATCATAATAGAGATCAATCTCACCCTCGTTGTTGACGGTGCCCGCATTCTCGAGAACAGAATCATGCCGGAGATCAATCTCACCCTCCTCGGAAGTTTCGATGGTGCCGGTGGCCGTGTTGGCGAGCACCGCGTCGTACGCGAGCTCAACCCTCCCCTCGTTGTTGACGGTGCCCGCATTCTCGAGAACAGAATCATAATAGAGATCAATCTCACCCTCGTTGTTGACGGTGCCCGCATTCTCGAGAACAGAATCATGCCGGAGATCAATCTCACCCTCCTCGGAGTTTTCGATGGTGCCGGTGGCCGTGTTGGCGAGCACCGCGTCGTACGAGAGCTCAACCCTCCCCTCGTTGTTGACGGTGCCCGCATTCTCGAGAACAGAATCATAATAGAGATCAATCTCACCCTCGTTGTTGACGGTGCCCGCATTCTCGAGAACAGAATCATGCCGGAGATCAATCTCACCCTCCTCGGAGTTTTCGATGGTGCCGGTGGCCGTGTTGGCGAGCACCGCGTCGTACGAGAGCTCAATCTCACCCTCGTTGTTGACGGTGCCCGCATTCTCGAGAACAGAATTGTCACGGAGATCAATCTCACCTTCGTTGTTGACGGTGCCCGCATTCTCGAGAACAGAATCATAATAGAGATGAATATAACCCTCGTTGTCCACGGTGCCCGCATTCTCGAGCTTCGAGCGCAGGATCGCGATGCTGCCCGAGTTCTTGATGGACGCACTGCCAGCGATCGTCACCGTGCCACCGTCGGCAGAAGGGTCATCGTATCCGGTAAAATAGAAGAGAGAGTCCGTCGCTCCGTTGACAAACGAGGTCCCAGAGCCCACCTTCAGCTCCGCGTTGTCAAGAACGTTTAGAGCCCCTGAGTTTGCCAGCCCATCGTCGCCGCCTCCTTTGCCGCCGCCATTCACTGCAGCGCTCTCCAGTACCGCGTTGTCGAGCACGTTGATGGTGCCCTCGTTGAGCAAACCGGCGCCGGTGGACGCCCACAAAAGAGCGATAGTTGAAGACGCTGCGCACTTCTCCTCGCAATTCGTAGTAGCAGTGGCTTCGACGCAGGTATTGCCGTCGGGGGTCCAGGGCAGTGGCTCGCCACCACAGATGTCGGCCCAGGGCAGCGGCTCGTCTGCGACTGCGCCCGGAGCTGCCAGCTGGTGGCCGCCCGTGCTGGCGTCGCTGTCCGCGGGCAGGCCAGCAAGATCGGCCGCGTAGCCTTTCGTCACGGTGATGTCGTTGGACGTGTCGAAACCCTTGGGCCCGTAATTAGTCCAAGCCACGACTACGGACGTCGCCCCGACAACACTGGTCGGTGCCGCTACCTGGTGGCCGCCCGTGCTGGCGTCGCTGTCTGCGGGCAGGCCAGCAAGGTCGGCCGCATCGCCTTTCGTCACGGTGATGACGTTGAACGTGTCGAACGCCCCAGTCGTCGTCTTGATGGTCACTGAGGTAGCCGTCTCGCTTGTGGTCGCGGTCACGGTGCCCACGGCGTTGGTCGTGGCCTGCGAGAAGACCTGGCCCTCCTTGTACTTGCCGGCGGCGATGGTCAGAGTCACTGCCGGGGTCTTGGCCACGGTGCCACTGCGTGCCGGTGGTTCGTACGTATCGGTCGGTGCCGCTACCTGGTGGCCGTCCGTGCTGGCGTCGCTGTCCGCGGGCAGGCCAGCAAGGTCGGCCGCATCGCCTTTCGTCACGGTGATGACGTTGGACGTGTCGAACGCCCCCGCTGTCACGCTCATCCTCACAATCGTGTACGTAGAGCCTCGTTCGGGGATCCCGGTCACGGTGCCAACGGCGTCGGTCGTGGCCTGCGTGAAGACCTGGCCCTCCTTGTACGTGCCGGCGGCGAGCGCTAGAAACTTGATCGGGTTCGGCTGCATGAAGATCTGGCCCTCCTTGTACGTGCCGGCGGCCAAGCCGTTCAGCCGGTGGAGCACATCAGCTGCAACAGGACCGCCCACGCATGAGAGGCAGGGCGTGCAGACGTCCGAGGCATCGCAGAAGAAGCCGTCAGGACAAGGAGATTCGGCGCAGGAGTTCTCGGTCGACGAGGAGGCTTTCAGCACCGCGGTATTCTTCACGTCGATGGTCCCCTCGTTGACCAGCCCCGTGGCGAGAGAGTGGGTCGAGCTCGTCACCTCCAGCTTCTCGTCGGCAGAGGCTGGCACTTGGTCGATGACGGCGTCGTCCTCGAAGGTCTTGACGACGTCACCGCTCGGGCCGTAAAGCTTCGCTTCGAGCTCGCGCTTCTGCGGGAGGCGGGAGAGGCGGGAGGCGGTGAGCAGACGCTGATCAGATGAGGTTTTGGCGGGACGCAGTGTGCAAGGCCTGTTGCCCGGCGACGGCGAGGCCAAGCGCGACGAGAGCCGTGGCAAAGATCATCTTGTCCTGCGACAGGCCCTTTGTGTCCTGGATGACAAGGCGGGAAACAAGGCGGGATCGCCTGTGTCGTGGATGCCAAGGATGGTAAATCGGTAAAACCTCGGTCACTTGTGGTGAACCTTCTTTTCTACCAGGCTAGAATTGAGAGCAGCCTCGCTCTCAATCCTAGAAGTCGAAGGATTGTGAGCAGCACTCCTCGCAATCGTAGCATCTCTGTCTGTGCGATTGATTGTGTGCACCCACGCTCGCAATCCTACATCTTCTAGGATTAAGAGCAGCTCCGCTCACAAGGTGACTGGTGACGCTTACGACTACTACCAGCGCGCTCACAATCCAAGCAAACTCTACAATCCAAGCAAACTCTAGGGTTGCGAGCAGCTTGGCTCACAATCCTAGCAACATGCCTCTGATTGCGAGCAGGAGCGCTCGCAATCCTAGAACTTTCGCCGATTGCGAGCGACACCGCCCACAGTCCTACGACTTCTAGGATTGCGAGCGGGTCCCCTCGCAATCGGTGCGATCACTGTTTGGGTTGTGAGGAGACCCTCCCGGCGCGCTCACTCACAAGCGCTCGCGCGGCTGGAGCGATTGGGAGCGCCCTCTGTGCGCCTGCTAGCCAACTAGCAGTCCTTGGATCTTTGGTACGATTGTGAGCGCAGCCGCTCATAGTCCTACAAGACGTAGGATTGCGAGCGCTCCTGCTCGCAATCGGAGGCATGTTGCCAGGATGGTGAGCTAAGCTGCTCGCAACCCTAGAGCTTGCTCGGATTGTGAGCGCGCTGGTAGTAGTCGTAAGCGTCACCAGTCACCTTGTGAGCGGAGCTGCTCTAAGTCCTAGAAGATGTAGGATTGCGAGCGTGGGTGCTCACAATCGCACAGAGATGCTACGATTGCGAGGAGTGCTGCTCACAATCCTTCGACTTCTAGGATTGAGAGCGAGGCTGCTCTCAATCCTAGCCTGGTAGAAAAGAAGGTTCACCGTCACTTGTAGTGAGCGTCGGGCTGGTGGTTGGGATTTTTCATTGGCGAGCGCGGTCTTTGGCTCTTGTCTTGGATCGCCAAGGTGGTCTGGCGCGAAGCGTGCATAACACGGTTCTTGTATTGCTCCTCCCTCACTATAGTTTGGACGTGCATATGGACGTATATGGACGGATAAATATGGATATTATAACTTATGGACGGATAACGAGTGCTCTTTCTTTGTTTGTTGCAGTGTATGTAGCTCTTACGTACATGCGTAGGGCCCTTAGGGGCCTAGAGAACACAATCCCCTCTCCCGTTTCTCCCAGTAAGCTAAAGTACGTACATTCCCGTAGGAGGACTCTGCTGACAGGGTTTGCGATGAGGAGCGACCCGAAGGGTTTCTCGGAGGTCAGTGCACCACTAACAAACAAACACACCCACTCACTCACTAACTAACCGCCGAAGCGCAAGCGCTTGGAGCAAGTTTGCGTTTCGGCGGTCGGTAGGTAGTGATCTGATCACCCGAATGCCACGTTCGGATCGCTCCTCATCGCAAGCCCGAGAGGGAGATGTATGTATGTAGGGAGATATTTAGCAATGGTTGCCCGCCACAGCCCTAGACGGTTAGGAGCCCAACCCAGCGGGGCGTTGGTCGTCGAGGGGGAGGGGTCAGGCTGCCCGTCGAGACCTCGAGAGCTCTCCGACACCTCACAGCTCCCAACTGACATCGATCTCGGACCTGCCGCTTTGCAGGCGCCCTCAGGGTGCACCGACGCCCGCCTCCTCCTCTCCTCAGGTCCGAGATCGATGTCAGTTGGGAGCTGTGCCGCGCGCTCCTGTCGCCTCCGCGAGCGCCTCCTCGACCCGCCGCGGGGCCCGGGCAACGGCCTCGAGCCGCGCTGGCGATGCTCGGCCGGCCTTCTGGCACCCTATCGCACGCACTCCCGCCAGCCGCGCGCTCCCGCGCCGTCGTGCGAGCTTCTGGCGTCATCCGTGCGAGATGCGGCGTCGCGTATCAGCTCGGTCACGCGGATCAGCTCGGTCACCTCGAGCGCGCTCGCTGCCTGCGCGCCAGGCAGCGCTCCTCTCTCGTCGTCGCGGCGACGAGTCGGGACGACGCCGTCGCTCGAGGCGCGTGGCCGGCGGCGCTCCTCTAGGCGGCGCTCCCTCGAGGCGCCGGGCCGACGTGACTGGGGCAGCTGCGGCGCACGACGGTGCCCAATGGCCGCCTCCGCCGTCCCCGGCTCGGCCTGTGGATCAGGGCAGCGGTCTCTCAGCTGTGCCGTCTCTGAACAGACACACTTGAGGACACGCGCGCGCGACGCTCACAGCTGCGTGTGCCGACAGCGGTGGTCAGTCTAAAATGTGTCTTGGTCAGTCTGACGGGCCAAAATATTTGAGGAAACACATTTTGCTGTCCTCACGCACTCACGGCCCGCGCATTGCGGCTCCGCCGAGACCTTGTTGGCAAAGTTTGATCGCACGCGCTCGTTCCCCCACAGATCCCACTAAATCATCACGGCCCCCCGTAACACCCCCTCCGCGCGCGGTCAAAGGCTTCCCAGGGCCGGTCTATGACATGAACCGATAGACACAAGCAAAAACAACCGCACCTCTAAGCTTCTCGGGCACCCCGAGGCCCATACGGCGCCCCGGCGGGCCCCGGCGGAGGTCCGGCGCGGCGCTCCAAATCCGCACACTCTTCGCGAGCTTCTACGGGAGTTCACGCGGCCTCTCCGCCTCGTGAGGCACACCCCACACCCACCACGAGTCCTGGGGCCGTGGGCGGACCTTTGGCCGCGGCGTCCGGAGCTTTGGTCGTCGAATATCGGCCGCCAACTAGGCCGTCGAGATCGAACGTGTCCGGAAAAAGGCTCTCGGATGGGTCCGGCAGCGGTCCCATGGACCCAGAAGCTCGCCCCGGCCGAGCATTCACGGCTCGGCCCCCGCCCCTGGTCACCCAGACGTGCCCTTGGACAGCCGTAGGGGCTCGGATGACGACGTTGGCGCCCGCGACGACGCCCTCCCCGACGCGACGTCGGGCATCTGGCAGATACACTACTCGTACTCCCGGGCGCGGCGGCGCGGATGATCACGTGGTTTGGGATTCTGAGCGATGGCAGAGGCCTTTATTTGCAAACGAGGACGCCCCGCGAGGCCCCGTCGGCCGGGAGTGGTGAGTGGGACCATAAACAAGCACTATATCCCGTACCGCGACCAGCCCACACACAGCCCAAACCGCTGCCAAACCGGCCCTGATCACGCCGGCCGGGAGGCTGCCGGGGCGCCCAAACAGTCCCTCACGAACGCCACACGGGCCACCACGGCCCGTCCGGCGGCCCGAGTGCCGCCCCACACCCGCCCGACGCCCTCGGCCAGCCAGCGCCCACTCTGAGAGGCTTCACCGCCGCCAGCGCGCCGAGCGCGCCGCCCTCTCCTCGCGCCACACGGGCCCCTGGCCGCACGCCCGAGAGGCGGCCCATAATTTGAGTCGAGACGCGCCGCCGGCCAGCCAGCAGCTCGCCCGCCACCCGCAGAGTGCCGCCGCCGCCCCCAGCCCGCACTGGAGAGGCTCTCCCGGCCGCTAGCCGCTGTCGCGTCGCCCGGCGGCTGCGCTGGCAGCGTGGCGGTGAGGGCGGTGGAGGAGATGGCGGCGGCGGGCTGGGCGGTGGCGGTGAGGGAGCTGGCGGCGACGGGGCCGGGGTGACGTGCCGCGGCTCGTGCGCG